GAGGGAATCAAATTCGCTGTCATTGCCAGCCACGCTCCAGCCAAAACAGCATTGCCAGTTGCAGAGAAGAATCGCGAGACTTTGCCCTGGTCTACACTACGAGTTTAGGTCGAATTTAGCAGCATTAGATCAATTTAACCCTGCACCCGTCCACATGAAGAAGCCATTTCTGTCGACTCAAAGGACTCTTAAAATCAATTTCTGTACTCCTCCCCGATGAGGAGGAGTCGGGGAATCGCTTGGTCGAATCTGGGGTAGCGTGGACCCAATTCGACAGTATTGGCCTCCGGGAGCTATCCCAGAGTGCTCCATTGTGACCGCTCTGGACAGCACTTTGAACTCCGATGCACTAGCCAGGTACACAGGAAAAGCCCCAGGAACTTTTGAATTTCATTTTCTGTTTGGCCAGCGTGGCAAACTCAGCAGCACAGGTGACCATGCAGTCCCCCCAGAATGTTTCTACGCTCCCCCTATCATCTCCATCCCTGAGGTTATCGCAGATTAGAAGGCGGAAAAAACGCACTCACGATGACGTGTTTTCTGAGGTCATGCAGTCCTCCCGCACAGCTTAATGGATGGAGGCATTCAGTGGCAGAGGCCAGGAAAGAATTGCTGTGTGTGCTTAACAGCAAAAGTATCATGCCTTGCTAGCGATCCTGCCCGAGCCAGGTCGCTGCATCACATGCACTCCGCGCTGTGTCAGCCTTGGGCGGGGGCATGACTGCTTTGTGAGCAGGAAGGCCATAGATATAGACATTGCATTAGGTAGCTTCTGTAGCTAGAGAAAACATTCCTGTGCATTCGGCAAAGTCGTGGCAAAAAAAGAGAAGCCCCGTGACACACCAAACTATTAATAATACACAACCACACATTACATAAAGTAGAATAGGGACCATGTGAGGGCTACATTCAAGCTGGGTTTCCATAGGGTAGTGATTATCACGTTCACCTAACACACAAAAAGTCCCCGGTTTGAAACTGGGCAGAAACAGGTCACTGTTCCCTTTTCTGACTCCCCTCCTGCATTTTTAGTCTTAGAACAGACCGCGTTGTGAAATTTTACTTTGAATTATATCAATTATGAGTTAAATAATATGGAAGCTCTCTCTAAGTTATAGGCCTGGGTTCCTTACCTTTTCAGCTGCTCTGATAAATTAACATTTTTGTTGGAGTGGGACCTGACGACATGTACCCAAAACCACCCGCGACAAAGTTTTTGCCCCATCAGGATTTGGGAGCTTAATTCCCAGAATTCCAATGGGCAGCGGAGACTGTGGGAACTGTAGGATAGTAACCCACAGTGCACCGCTCTGTAAGTTGATGCTAACCACAGTAGTGAGGACGCACTCCACCGACTTAATGCGCTTAATGTGGACATATGCAATTGACTGTATAAAATCAAATTCTAAAAATTGACTTCTATAAAATCGACCTAATTTCGTAGTGTAGACATGGGACCTGCACTCATGCCCTGAGCAGCGGCTCAGCCGAGCCAGCGGTCACACGGGGAAAGAGGTGCAGGGATCTGTCTCTGTAAAATTTCCTCTGGAGCCAAGGCTATGCCATGTTGTGTGCAGCCCTGCAGCTCCCCCGATTCCTGCAGTGCTCTCACGCGGCCCTGAGTCAACCTGGGATTTCAAACTAGTCTTTTAATAAGCATGTCGGAGACAAATGTTTCGTTTTACTCTGCCTCCCCAGGCACTTGGCAGGGATGGGCATGGACTGTCTCTGCAGAGCAGTGAGTGAGAATCCAAGCAATAAACCAGCACAAGTGACATTTTACTATAGCTACCCGTGCTTTGGCACTAATAAGATGGTCTTTAATGCAATCAAGCCATGGAACAGACCTCCAGCCAGTTTATTTGTCTGGCTTATTAAGTGAGGGAAATGAAGCACCTTCAGGGCTCTGATGAGGACAAAAACACAATCCTGCAGCGTGCAAGGTCTGTCAGCAAGCAAAGAGGAGCAAATTTAGAGTTGTGCAGGGGCAGACATTTTAAAAAATTAAATGAAAAAGCACCTAAGAAATGCCTAATTTCCTGCCACTCCCCATGCAGGGCCTATCCTGAAAAAGACTGATGGGTAGGTTAGAAGGGATAAGTATCTAAGTAGGGTTGAAACGTAAGGCCTGCAGGCTGAGGCGTGTAAGATTTTAGCTTAGCCATACTAGGCCTTAGAGTTAAGAAATGCTTGACATAAGTAAGTGACCAAAGAATGACCCAAGATTACCATTCATTGGTACATCTTTTCCTGTATTGTGAAAAGTTAGCCCGTAAGATTAATTTTAGATAGAAAAAAAATGTACTTTTAGGGCATTTTGCGAACACGGGCCTTAACTGCAGGACACAGGCTGTACATCAGTGCTAATGAGAATATAAGGAACTAGGCACAAGTCAAAGAAAACGGGGTACCCCGATCTTCTTTGGGAGCACAATACAAATAAGAAAAAAGAGGGCTGACACTTTCACACACAGGCACAGGGTATGAGGTAGAGTCAGAATCACATTATAAAAGTGGTTTCAGAGTAACAGCCGTGTTAGTCTGTATTCGCAAAAAGAAAAGGAGTACTTGTGGCACCTTAGAGACTAACCAATTTATTTGAGCATGAGCACGAAAGCTCATGCTCAAATAAATTGGTTAGTCTCTAAGGTGCCACAAGTACTCCTTATTATAAAAGTGGGTGCCCAGATTTGGAAAACTGAGTTCCCTATGGGAAAACCTCCACCAGGAACCATCCCTCTACTGATGATCATGCCAGGAGAGCCGCATCAGACTCTAAGACTATCTAGGAGCAGGGTGGGCAAACTACGGCTCACGGGCCGCATCTGGCCCACCAGCTGTTTTAATCCAGCCCTTGAGCTCCCACTGAGGAGCAGGGTCTGGAGCTTGCCCTGCCTGGTGCTCCAGCTGGGGAGCATGGTCGGGGGGGGAGGGAGGGGGGATGGCTGTTCCACACGGCTTCTGGAAGCAGAGGCATGTCCCCCTGGCTCCTACACATAGGGGCAGCCAGGGGGCTCCAGCCCACACGCTGCCCCAAGTGCCACCCCTGCAACTCTGATTGGTCAGGAACCATGGCCAATGGGAGCTGCAGGGATGGCACCCGCAGACAGGGCAGTGCGCAGCAAAGCCTCCTGGCCGCACCTCTGCGTAGGAGCCAGAGGGGGAACATGCTTCCGGGAGCTGCTTGAGGTAAGTGCTGCCCAGAACCTGCACCCCTGAGACACCACTCCACGCCCCTGATCCCCCTCCCACCCTCTGAACCCCTTGGTCTCAGCCTGGAGCACCCTCCTGCACCCCAAACCCCTCATCCTCAGCCACACCCAAAAGCCTGCACCCCCAGCCAGAGCCCTCACCCCCTCCTGCATCCCAACCCCAATTTTGTGAGCATTCATGGCCCGCCATACAATTCTATACCCAGATGTGGCCCTCGGGCCAAAAAGTTTGTCCACCCCTGATCTAGGAGGATGAGAGTATTATGATTGCTATAATTATGTGTAGGATTTATCTATGTGTGGATAATCATAACTTTGTTGGTAACTTTAATAAACTTGATAAAGGATATTAGACATTGTTCTTGTGACTGTCTGGTCTTCATGTGATCATTGAGGCTCTAGATCTGGAACAAGTAGCAGAGGTGACTTTCACTCCACTGAGCTTGAGCCAGTAGCCACCAGAGCCGAACCCACCGTGGTGTAACACACCATTACGAAATACACTTGAACTAAAATAAAAGACTACACCCCACACTGTGGGAGTTCCCATCCTCACTGCCTGCAAACCTGCCTCTGCTCTCACCCCAGCTATTATTCAGCTACTGGTTTCAGAGTTTCAGAGTAACAGCCGTGTTAGTCTGTATTCGCAAAAAGAAAAGGAGTACTTGTGGCACCTTAGAGACTAACCAATTTATTTGAGCATGAGCTTTCGTGAGCTACAGCTCACTTCATCGGATGCATACCGTGGAAACTGCAGCAGACTTTATATATACACAGAGAATATGAAACAATACCTCCTCCCACCCCACTGTCCTGCTGGTAATAGCTTATCTAAAGTGATCATCAGGTGGGCCATTTCCAGCACAAATCCAGGTTTTCTCACCCTCCACCCCCCCACACAAATTCACTCTCCTGCTGGTGCTAGCCCATCCAAAGTGACAACTCTTTACATAATCAAGTCGGGCTATTTCCTGCACAAATCCAGGTTCTCTCACATCCCCCCCCACTCCCATACACACACAAACTCACTCTCCTGCTGGTAATAGCTCATCCAAACTGACCACTCTCCAAGTTTAAATCCAAGTTAAACCAGAACATCTGGGGGGGGGGGGTAGGAAAAACAAGAGGAAACAGGCTACCTTGCATAATGACTTAGCCACTCCCAGTCTCTATTTAAGCCTAAATTAATAGTATCCAATTTGCAAATGAATTCCAATTCAGCAGTTTCTCGCTGGAGTCTGGATTTGAAGTTTTTTTGTTTTAAGATAGCGACCTTCATGTCTGTGATTGCGTGACCAGAGAGATTGAAGTGTTCTCCGACTGGTTTATGAATGTTATAATTCTTGACATCTGATTTGTGTCCATTTATTCTTTTACGTAGAGACTGTCCAGTTTGACCAATGTACATGGCAGAGGGGCATTGCTGGCACATGATGGCATATATCACATTGGTGGATGTGCAGGTGAACGAGCCTCTGATAGTGTGGCTGATGTTATTAGGCCCTGTGATGGTGTCCCCTGAATAGATATGTGGGCACAATTGGCAACGGGCTTTGTTGCAAGGATAAGTTCCTGGGTTAGTGGTTCTGTTGTGTGGTATGTGGTTGTTGGTGAGTATTTGCTTCAGGTTGCGGGGCTGTCTGTAGGCAAGGACTGGCCTGTCTCCCAAGACTTGTGAGAGTGTTGGGTCATCCTTTAGGATAGGTTGTAGATCCTTAATAATGCGTTGGAGGGGTTTTAGTTGGGGGCTGAAGGTGACCGCTAGTGGCGTTCTGTTATTTTCTTTGTTAGGCCTGTCCTGTAGTAGGTAACTTCTGGGAACTCTTCTGGCTCTATCAATCTGTTTCTTTACTTCTGCAGGTGGGTATTGTAGTTGTAAGAAAGCTTGACAGAGATCTTGTAGGTGTTTGTCTCTGTCTGAGGGGTTGGAGCAAATGCGGTTGTATCGCAGAGCTTGGCTGTAGACGATGGATCGTGTGGTGTGGTCAGGGTGAAAGCTGGAGGCATGCAGGTAGGAATAGCGGTCAGTAGGTTTCCGGTATAGGGTGGTGTTTATGTGGCCATTGTTTATTAGCACTGTAGTGACCAGGAAGTGGATCTCTTGTGTGGACTGGACCAGGCTGAGGTTGGTGGTGGGATGGAAATTGTTGAAATCATGGTGGAATTCCTCAAGGGCTTCTTTTCCATGGGTCCAGATGATGAAGATGTCATCAATATAGCGCAAGTAGAGTAGGGGCTTTAGGGGACGAGAGCTGAGGAAGCGTTGTTCTAAATCAGCCATAAAAATGTTGGCATACTGTGGGGCCATGCGGGTACCCATGGCAGTGCCGCTGATCTGAAGGTATACATTGTCCCCAAATGTGAAATAGTTATGGGTAAGGACAAAGTCACAAAGTTCAGCCACCAGGTTAGCCGTGACATTATCGGGGATAGTGTTCTTGACGGCTTGTAGTCCATCTTTGTGTGGAATGTTGGTGTAGAGGGCTTCTACATCCATAGTAGCCAGGATGGTGTTATCAGGAAGATCACCGATGGATTGGAGTTTCAGAGTGATAGCCGTGTTAGTCTGTATCAGCAAAAACAATGAGAAGTCCTTGTGGCACCTTAGAGACTAAGAAATTTATTTGGGCATAAGCTTTCATGGGCTATTCAGTATCATGGCAACAGGGGAGAAGCCAATGGCTAACCAGCAAATCTCCCAGGCATTCGACAAACACTTCCTTTCTTGTCTGCATTACAAGAAATAAGCTAGTTTCCTTTCCTTATCAATGGGAGGGTGGTTCTGCGCTCAGAGCCTGGACGCTGCATTCCTTCCAATGAATGTTCCCTCACGCCTGTATCTCCTCCCATTAAGGGCGAGGATTTATAGAGCCAAAGCACCATAGCCATACCACCTCTCTGGCCCCAGCCTGGGGCTGTCTGGCCAACCGTGCTAAGAAGAAAACGTGCAGTTGATTATGACTATGTGTCCCTGAGCTGTGACCTGTTGTTCTTAACCAGAAGAATCAGGCCTGGCAGCCAGGAAGGGGATGCTGCCACCTCCACTGCAGCCCCAGGACGTGAGCCAGGAGCACTCCCAGCAGCTGCTTCTCTTCCCCGCTGCTGCTCAGCAGCTCCCCCGCAGCCACCAGCTGTAGTACAGGAGCTCTGCTCCTTTGCCTTCTTCCCTACTGGATGGTGGAAGCCCCGGTGATCTTCTGGCTCTGCCTGAGCCTGGGGAAGCCTCTGGCAAGGTTGGCTACCCTAGCTCACGTCCAGGCAGCCCAAAAGAGAGGGTAGCCTAGGGGGTAGAAGAAGCCAAGAATCAACCACCAGTTGCAGTTCCCAGGTGCTCCAGCCAAGCTCAGGATCGCAGTGGCAGCCACCCCCTCCTCTATCAGCCCAGGGGTGCAGTGAGGGAGATACAGTGGCCAGCTACACTGCCGGCTCTACGCCTACTGGGCACACAGCACAGCACTGACTGAGCCAGGACTGGAACTCGTGTGTTCCGGGCCCCTGGCCCCAGCCATGCTGCCTGCTACGCTGGGAGCTAATTGTTATTATCGGCATCACCGTAGCAGCTAGGATCCCAGGCACGACCCATGAGACATGAGCACTACAGGGCTTCCAGTAATGAATGGCCAGGGCCTCCTGCAGCAGCCCAGCCGTGGTTCAGTACAGACCCAGAGCAAGAAGGGCCCTACTCACTGAGCCACCATCACCACTCCCTGCCATGTCGGCGTCTTCCTTGAGACTTCCCATCCATGCTTTGCCCATGCCCTGCTTGGTTTGTAACCTACAGGATGACAGTATGAGACAACAGGGCAGCGAAACTCAGATTTGCTTCTACGTATTTTCCCCTGCTTGAGTTCTCCATGTGCAGAAAGACAGTAACCACTTCTCAGACACTGGCACATTAGAAAATGTCGGTTTTTATTTAAAATATGTTCACAGGCTACAGCAAGACAGCATCTATGCCCCAGATGTCACCCGCTGGCCAACAGGTGTAGTTATACAACTGAGAGTGGGGGCAGAAAGGACATGAACCATTCACTGGATCTATATAAAGACTTCTGGATTACAATAGAGATAAAGATAGAAGCAGCAAGGCTGGGCTGTGCATGCACCGACTTCAGCTGCCTTCCCCAGTCATTGATGCATCAGTACTTAGAGTTCCCAGCTGTGGTGCTGCATCAGCACACACTCCTTAGGCAGGCTGGAGTGAAGAGTAAGGGTAAAAATCGCACCGAGATTGCACGTGACTCACAAAAATACTGTACAAGTGACTGGCGCAGCAAGATGTGGCTCCAGACCAGGGACAGATCCCAGCTCCTCAAAAGGAGCTTCATGACTGCATCATTAGCTCCGCCCTGGCTCCTCCCCTTCCTTTGGCCACAAGGACCAAGAGTGGGTCCAGCCTTTGTCCCCAGCCTCCTAGGAGGGAGAATGGTGTGTCTGAATGGAATCCTCCCCCATGCTACAAGATTGTGACATCTACTGGCCCATTCCTACCCCAGGTCTTGTCACTTTCACTTCAGCCTGACCACGCTGGCAGTGCTAAAGGGTATTTCCTCCTTGGCTGAGGTTACAGCCCGTCTGACTGCCTGCTGCTGCACTCATTGACATTAATACTTCAGTGGGAGAGGGCCAGTCTCAGGTGGTGGAGGCAGGTAAAATGCCTGTTTGAGTGATTTCACTGTGATCTATCTGGGAGCTTACAGAAACCAGGCTGCTCTTATGTCTGCAATGCCTTGCAGCTGCTGGTTAGAGGACGCAACTCAGGGTAAGAAGTGCATCATGGCAGATCAGGGACACTCATTTCACTAGTGTGAAACATTTGCAAACATTCTCCTCCACCCCAAAACAAAACACCCAAGACACAGAGGGCAACAGCAGGACCAAGAGCTTCCTTAGGGACACAGGATTAGATCAGAGTCCAGTATCCTGTCTCCACGAGCAGCCAAGATTCCTTGTGCGTCAGAGGATGGCAAACCCACCTACTACTGCACCTGGCCAATTTGCACGGGTCCTTCACTAACCAGAGTGTTTAACATCGGCAATGGGTAGACATCAAAACAGGATCAGGTTCAGCAAGTCTGAAAAGGGGCGAAGAACGGCTGCTTGGTGCAAAGCTAAAGCAAGTGGCAGAATCGGTTAGCCAGCGCACACACTGAACACCTCAGTGCCCACACCCTATTTATCCACTACAAAGCTATTGCTGCCCCACACAATGGCTGATCCGCCTGCTGAGCCTTTCAGGGTGTGTCCACACTGCCATTCGACACCTGCAGCTGACCTGTGCCCGCCAACTTGGGCTCCTGAGGCTCAGCTGCAGGCCTGTTTAATTGCCATGTAGACCTTCAGGCTCAGGGTGCAGCCCAGGCTCTTGGACCCTCAGGCTGCAGCATGAGCCTGGACATCTACACCACAATTAAACAGCCCCAAAGCCTGAGTCACAGGGCAGCTGTGGATTAATTGCAGTGTAGAGACGCCCTCAGAGACTAGCTACTTGAGTGTGCAAGCCAGTCACTAGGAGATAGGGCGTGAACATGCAGCTATGAGGACTGTTCAAAGGGCCCCAGCAGAGCTCTCTCGTCTCCCAATCACATAGCTCATGGGATGGTCCCTATTCTCCTCCTTGCATCCCAGCTCAGGAAGATGAGGTCTTGGGAAGTTACTGGCTCATCACTGAGAGCTTTAATATTTGCTCATCTCTGGGCTATTGCCTTGGGATACATTTCCCGGCTCTTTAAAGATAATAAATACCGTTATAAAATTCTAAAGGATTGTGTGCTCACATCCCATCTCCCAGAGGATCTGAGCAAACTTGTGACTGGCAGCTAGCATGTGGCATTCAGAGGTATACTGGAGCGGGTTGCAGAAAGGGATGTAAAAAGAGGAAATAAAGTCCTGTTCTCCTGCTGGAGTAGCTCTGGCATCCCAGCTTAGAGCTCTCCATTTTAGTGACAACAAGACTGGAGGGGAGAAGGACAAAAAATTGCACCTAAAAAAGTAAAATAAATGAATGCCAAAAGTAAAAAATGGAATGATTGGATGACAACTGAAGGCTAAATTGCAGCTAGAAAAGTCTCCAGTCTGAATTTAGTTCAGTCCCAGCCCAGTGTCAAACCTCCTGTTCCTGAGCTCGCAGAGAAGCTAGCAAAAGGCCAAATTACAAGATCGTCTAACTGAAGTTAACATTCTAGACCTTGCACAATGTGGATTCAGGCCAGGACACGGAAATGAAACTGGCCTAGTGGCACTGATGGGTGATCTCCTGCTGTCAGTGGGCAGAAAGCCATTCTCCTCCTCCTGGGCCTCTCTACAGTGTTCGACACAGATGACCGTGAGATATGCTGTCTGGCCTGAAAGAGAGGACTGTAGTCCAGGGTAATGAGGTAAAATGGCCTGAGTCCTTCCTGTACAAACACACCCAAAGAGCAGAAATGGGCAACTGCACCTCTATCACTAGACTCCTCACTTGGGGTTTTCACAAGGATCAATTCCCTCACTGGTCCCTTTTGGCATCTATATCCTACTGCTCGGATGACATGGACTCAAGTGCCAACAATATGCCAATGGCACACAGCTATACCTATTGTTCAGTACATACGACCACATGCCTACCACCAAGATGACCCAATGCTTTGATGAGATCAGCTCATGGATGAAGAACAGCTGGTTGATGCTAAACCCAAGAAAAAGAGAGGTGATGCTGCAGGGTGGGGGAATGTATTTTGAAGAGTTTTCAGCCATGGTGGAGTCTCCTTTGGCTGAAGTTCACACCCACAATTGGTCAATTTCAGTCCATCGACTTAGGAGTACTCCTGGATTCCTCACTGACAACAAGCTCGCATGTCACAGTGGTTGTAACGCTTTCCACCACCTCCGGCTGGCTAGGACACACCATCCCATCAGTCCTGGCCTCAGTTATTCACACCTTCGTCACCGCTCAGCTGGCCTGCAGCAATGCAATACACCTGAATGCAATGCAATACACCTGGGCATGAAACCTGCAGTGCTTAGGGAACTCCGACGAGTACAGAACACTGCAGCACATCTCAGCACCACAGCTGCTGCGAGCACCTTTCCTCTCCTCTCTACCCTGGCTCCCCTAGCATTTCCACTCAAGTTCAAGGCTGAGTCCTTATCTTCAAAACATTCCACGGACTGTGCCAGGGTATCTAAAAGACCATTTAAGCTCTGGGATGAAGACCTTGGTTGACAACTTTGCTCCTCTGTCACAATGGAACCATAACAAGAGTAAAGGTCATCTTTGCAGTCTGAGCCTGTGCAATGAACTCCCCCAGCCAGGGACAAAGGGCTACCACAAACCTCGCCACTCTCTGCTCCAAGTGCAAGGTGCGTTTCTTTGACGTCCATTCTGCAATGGTGTCTTTATTTAATAAAAATAAGATTAAAAACACCCCTACCAAAACAAGACACTCCCCTGCATGTGCCGCTCCCTCTGGGACGAGGATAGGAGAACAAACACGGGACAGATGCATAGTCACATTGCTTAATGCCCAACTGGAAGGTGCCCACAGACTATGGTGAGGAGTGGGGTATAAAAACCTATATCGGATACTACATTATCGGTGCTTTCAGTGGAAAACAGCTGCAATGGGAGGGGGATCAGGAGAGCTCCCAAATCCTCAGTTACCTCCAAATGCTAGTGCTTGGAAACCTCTCTCTGCGCAGTGACGAGTGGAGTCCCAGCCCCACCCACCACGCTAGCCCCCAGCTAGCCGTGACAGGAACACATGATGGCACCCCTAGTTCTGCACTGCACTGCCCACCCCTAACAAAGGCCTTGGGACGAGCATGCTACTCAAACAGATCCCAAGTCTTCAATAAGCTCGTCATATGGTCCTACCCCTCCAGAGGGGAGTGTTTGAATCCTGCTGCGGGAGCCCTGCTTAGCCCTGGAGCTGATGGCAATGGAGCAGAAGCAGCTGCTGACCCTGCAGCAGTTGTGAGGTTAATGGCAGTTGAATGAGCTCAGCCCAGACACACAGAGGTTAGGCCATGGAGCATGTCGTTCTTTTTCTGCAAGTCCTGCCGCCGCCTGCAAAGCCCCCTTCACCGCTCTGCGAGCGCTGTGCTTTGAAGCAGGAGTCCGCATCACAGTTCTCCTCCCTCATGGCACCATGCAACACAGCAGACATGGCTACATCCACTGCAGCCCTGTCTCTCCCCCAGGCATCCTGCTGCTGTCAGGAAGCTGCCAGTACTATCGCCGCATTTCAAGAGCTGTGGCTAACATGGTCAATGTGCACCTCCGCCAGCTGCAGGGGTCCTGATGTCAGTGTTTATAGGGGATGGGGTGAAAGCCGGGAGCAGTCCTGAGCCAGGCAAATGTGCAAGAACAACTGTGATGGCCAATCCGCAGGCAAAAAGTTCCAGCGATGGAGGAGCAGAGTGCTATCTGCAAAGCGAGCCCACTCCCCACCGCTCGCTGGGACCTCATCCCCAGGAGCGTGGGTTAACGTCACTGGAGGTTTCTTTGTTAAACACTGAAAGAGATTCGTACTCCGAAAAGCTGAGTTGTCATTTGTGCAAGAGAGTGAGTCAGACCGTACCCCCCAGAAATGATCCCGGGCATAAAGCAGCATTTCCTGGCACTTTGTTGCGCTCCGGCCAGTCCTCACGCCCTCCTTGCTAGCTGTGTTCCTCTCCTCTGTAAGATTGGCTGCCGGGGCAGGATGGGAAGTGGGGGGAGAGGGGAGGAGAGCGAAGGCAGGACACAGCTCCCTGCACAGCTCACAGGTGACGTGGCACTTTGTTTTAGCAGCGCTTTCAAACACAATCAACCCAAAGACCGGATGCCTGATGCACACAGACACACACACACCGGAGAAGAGGGGATTGGTGAGTATTGCCGGCAGCACGGCCACTCTCCAGCAGCCTACGCACAACTGCTGGGCACATCCCTTCTGGAACGACTCACTGAGGGAGTCCCGGGCACCCTGATGCCAGAGTTACACGAGCTGCTTGCTGGTGTGAGGGGAGTGCCGCGTCCTGGTGCTGCTTGCACCGTATTGTGTCTGTCTCCCACCTTTCGCTCCATGTGATCCCAAAGCGCTTCACACAGAGAGACAGCTTTATTTAGTGTGAGGGGAATGAGGGGCTGATCCAAAGCCTGCTGGACCCAATGCGAATCTTTCCATGGACTTTGGATCAGGGTCCTAAAGTGCACGGTTACAGTGGCTGTGTGAGAGGTGCTTCTAGAACGCTAAGCAGGCTGGACTCTTAATATGCATCAGCCCAGGCAGCTCCATTGTCTTCCAAAACCTTCCAGCATTGCACTCATGCCTCCCATCCCATCCCCCTCAGCTCCATTGTCCCCCATGCGCAGCAGGGTTTCTGCTCAGTCCCCACACTCCCCAGGGACGGCGCTGCATCAGGCCAAAGAGCACTGGAAGTTTCATTTAGATATTGACGACACAGAGCTTCCAGGGGAACACAGACACAGCTATTTCTCCTGCCTCATCTAAGGTGTTCGCTGGCTCCTGATCGCAGCAGGGCTACATCCTACTACAGACCACCCGCCCAGGCCCAGCTCTCAACTCTCCTTTGGGGGTGCTCCCATACAGCCTTCTCCTGTGGTTAGAAACTTGGGGTGCTGAGGAGCCCTGTGTGGAGAGCATAGTGTGCCTGGCACCGCCATCAGACAACTGTCACTCCAAGTTCGGATTCAGCACTGCTGGTTGCTGGCCAAATTCCGTATTGCCTGTAAAGTGCAGGTGCCTTTCAAACAGCCCTCCTGAATCTTGCTCAAAACTTTTCCTCTGGCCTCCTCAAGGAGCCAAATGAGAGGGTCTTATTCTAGCCTGTTCATCTCCCCACTGCTGAACCCTACCCAGTGCAGGTCAGCCTTGCTTTGCATCCGCTTGCGGACAGGCGGGCTGCCCTTTCCCTGGATTGCCCAGCACGGCAGAGTGCATTATTACAGCATGGCATGTACTCTGCACAGCGCTGGGTGGGGCTGGGCTTTGGGGTTAGGGAGCCACCTCATCCCTTTATTTTCACCTCTCTTCTGCCCTGAAGGAACGCTGGCACAGGGACCGGGGTACGTTTTGGAAGGGACATGGGGCAGTTAAACATGATCTATGCTGCGCACACTAGCTTCACAGGGGATGCGAGTTGCACAAGAATCCCCGTGACTAACAGTCTGCTATTGCCACCTAAAGAACCTGACTTCAGCAGGTATCGGGCCAGGAGCACTAACTCCTGTCTGGCATTTCGCTGGAGCTGTAACTTTTACACTGAAAGTTGTTATGACAAGTACTGTAACTGAGCTATTGCCCGCGTATGAACACTGGCACCTAAGCAGAGATGCATTTCAGGACCCGGCTAGGCCAAGGCCCAGTGTGGAAGGGTAATGTGGAAACCCCAAAGGGCAAGAGGAAATCCGTCCTGAGGAGAACTAGCTGAGTGTGGGATGTGTGTTCTGGGAGAACAGAACATGCCTCAGCTGTGTCCCCAATCCTGAGCTCCGTAGGGAGGGTCAGTCTCTGCTTCCGGGGCTTCTCACTTACTGAGATCCACGGTTGTCCTTGAAAAAGAAAACAAAGCAGAATTAGGAATAAAAATGATGGTAACTTGAACACTGAGTCATCACAGGAGTTGGCCCAGCGGTGTCCCACCAGAAAAGCCCAGTCACCTGTAGTCTGGTGTGCCACCGTTCGATGGATGCGACGATGGCCCAATGCTGGTGTCATAGAGCTAGAGTCTCCTGCTACCATGGTGATGCGGCTCTGGGGACCGTGCGTCTAGGCCAAAGCCAAGGCCCCTGGAAGAACATGTAGTTTCACTAGCACCGGGCTCTCGCCAAATGAAAGAGGGGGAGTCCTGCTGGCAGCAGCTAGGGTTATACTGACAGTCTGTCCCTGCTTGAGCAGGAGTCTCTGCTGGTAGAAAAACAACAGTATTTGGTCCTAACTGTGCTGATCAAGGGCGCAGCACCTTCTATGCTCAACAGAGGCGATTCCTGGACCATCGAGCTACTAACTGTTCTTACTTGCTCAGAATCCGATTGGAGATGCAGCTTGAGCCACTGTCCAATGAAGCTGCACCCAAGGCTCTGATAAACAGTCAAGGCTTGGGAGCGGGTTTGGTACAAACGGGTGGCTGTCGTTTGGAAGAAGTGACTGCATGGATGGCCTGCTGGGCTCCAGTCCAACCCCACAGCGCAACAGGCCGAGGGAGGGAGGGACGTGGGGGTTTGCCATTGCAAAGGGAGGCGTCGCGAGCCAGAAATAACGCGGAATAAAAGACTGAGCAATCCTTGGTTCAGACTCTCTCGATATTGCAGCCACGCTCACCAGCAGGACTTCCTGGAGATCTGTACACAAAGTGCTATTTTCCTGTCAAGGTCCATTGTGAGCCACAGCTCCAGGGTGATGGTCACCTGCAAACAGAGACACAGAGGAAGATGAAGGCAAGCAACCCCATACAGGGCCCTGCCTTCACTCCAGACCGCCCAAGGAACTTATTCCTGGCATTGTGCGAGGAAGGGGTGATGGGGGGCAGATCCTCTCTGTTAAAAGACCTATCACATCCTGTAGGGGGCAATCCACAGGTGCCATTTCCCTGCACTGCAGCAGGTCCCTGTCCAGCACTCCGCCACTGACTCTATGCTGCCAGGACGCTGATCTGGAGTCATGGAAACTACGGGTCAGGTCCTGCTCCCGCTGGAGTCACTGCAGGAAGATCAGACCGTAAGGTAGTCCTGACGGGTCCGCTGGAGCAAACAGCAGGGACGTGTTGTAACTGCACTAGAAATGTTCTCCCATAGCCAGGGAGATGCTGATCCACTAGTGTTGTGCTGGGGGATAAGAGAGGGCAGGCATGACACAGGCACTTGGAACGACGCTATATCTGACCACAATCATGAGCACTACAGGGGGAATGACCCATCTACTTCTCACCCATCCAGCATCTCCTGCCAGCTCTTCAGTGCTTGGTCTCATGCTACCAGGGGAAGCAGCACCAGATACTACTCCTGGGGGAATTTTGCACCACTGCGCGTGTGCAGAATTCATGTCCCCCACAGATTTCTTTGCTTCCCAGCAGAAAAATGACTTTCTGATGGAGAAGCAAAGAGAAGCTGCAAGAGCAGTCAAGTGCCACTCCCTAGCTGCACAGGTACATTGTTTCAGGCACCTGAAGCAGCCGGCAGAGAGGTACATCATTGCAGGGCTGGGGACACCGCAGCCAGTGGCTCCTACCCTAAGCTGGGATCAGCTGCTAATCCCAGCTGGGCTGGAGGCAGGAGAGGATGGGATTTCCTCTTCCCCTACAGGGAATGGCTAGGGCTATGTCAGACCCCACTCCCAGAAACCGCCCCCAGCTGCAGGAAACTCAGCATCCTCCCCTGCGTCCTGCCCCCATTGCGCCTCAGCTGCAGGGGGAGGGGTCACTATACTGGGAGCTGCTCCTGCATCCAACCAACCCCCATGCATCCGGATCTCCCATACTTAGACACCACTGCCAAGCCTCACCCAGAAACCCCCTAGCCCTCCATACCTGAACCCCACCCCATTGAACCTCAACCCCTGCATCTGGAGCACCCTGCACCCAGACCCCCTGCCTCAGGACCTCCACCCCTGCACCCAGACCATCCCCCACTGAGCTCCCTGCACTCAACCCCACACCCTGGTAAGCCCCCACCCTCCTGCACCACCCTGAGCTACCACATCCAGATCCCCATGCCACTGACCCCCAACTAGCTGCACCCAGACCCTCACCCCACCAAGCCCCAAACCCCCAGCACCCAGACCTCCTTGCTGAGACCCCCACACTCAGACCCCTCCACTGAGCCCCAACCACTTTCACCCTGCAGAGTCTCATTGCCCCTGCACCTGGAACCCCCCCAAATGAGTCTGTGTGCATCCAGATCCCCCCACATCTGGGACCCCCCCCCACTGAGCTGCCTGCACACAGACTCACCCCACACCTGGATCCCACCCATACTGAGCCCCTTCACACTTGGATCCTGCCTGGATGAGCCTGCCTGCCTTACACCTGGTGTGCCTGGCGCAGAGGGGCAGGGCCCAAGAGTGTTTCTGGGGCAGGCCCAGGCCTTGTGCTGTGTCAGGGTTGGGTGCAGCCTCACCACTGACTCTGTGTCCCAGGGGTGGGGAGGCTGCAGGGTGATCTCCCACCTCTGTGCAGCCAGTGGCCTGTGCTCCCCACTGCCATGCTGGAGCTCTGCATTTGTTTATTGACAAATAAAACTTGCAGAATTTTAAAATATTGTGTGCAGAATTTATAACTTTTTGGCACAGAATGCCCTGAGGAGTAATTAGATATGCTGGATCTGGGTGAGAAGGTTGCTCACGTTTGTTTCCCTGCCAATGCTGGGAACAGCACCCAGCCCAGAGGTTGGTGCTAGCCTCAGGCCAATGGCAAGAATGCCTCTCACTGGCTCCCTTGGCTGGGAAGCAGCAGCCGCTGCTCCTCAGGACTGTCCCACTGCCAAAGAACCAGTCCCAGCGACAGCAATGGGACCTTCCCTGGGTCCCTTGAAATAAAATCCATTCTGCGGAGTTGAAGTCAGATGCCTCGCTGCACAAACTACAGGTGCACTTCCACATGGACGTGCAATGAATAAAGTGACCTCTGCACGGTGGGAAGGAGCCCAAGTGCATTACAGATGGTCCACAGAGAGCACTGCGGAAATGCCACCAGCTTCAGGTGGAAGGCAACTGTCACGCTGACGATGCACCAGAGAGGGAGGTTGTGAGCAGGGGGATATATGGGATGTGGGCAGGACACTGCATCTATTCTGTAATGCACAATAGGATCTTTACTGTCCACAGCCCATAAGCAGGGCCCTTGATTTTATTGTTTAGGCACTCCCCAAAAACAAAGTCTGTACAAAAATGGCCCTGTGGACCCCCTATTTGTAACCCAAGGGTCCCAGAGCTGAGCACTCCCCTACCTCCGGTGCCCGCGTGAGAGGTAGTCCCGATTCAGAGAGCAGAGTTGCTGCTCCAGACGGAAGATCCGGAATGCCAGATATGATGAGGACACAACCAGGAGGCAGATCCTGGGAGCAAAGACAGACAGGAGCTGCGGGTTAGGACTGAAAGCCTTGGAGGCTAAAGCTTTGCCTATAGCAGAGGCTGTGTTTTCCTAGCCAGAGGATATGTGGCCCGAGAGAGGAGGAAGGGACTAAAACCAAGGGGGAGGTTTCTCTATTGGAGACACATTTCTTTATTTAGTTTGTGTCTTTACAGAGCGTCATTCCTTGAGACAGCATGAGATATACGGCACCTCTCCATCTCTCCACGGGGCCGCCATATGCAGCACGTTACCCACCAGAGCTGGGAGTCTAAACTCCTGGGCTGCATACTGGATATACAGTCAGTGCTCAGAAAGCCAGCACCTGGGGCTAGACAGGTGTTAGCAATTCCAGTGGGCACAAGGGACCGATTCTCAGTTGTACCAAGATCTCAAGGCCCCTTTCTGGCAGCAGCTATAGGCCTTAAAGTGGTCACAAAATCACTTCTACCAACCATAAGGCCCGTTTTACAGTGCCAAAGTGGTGTAAAGGAGCTTCAGTGTAAATGGGAATCAGGCCCATAAAGCAGCAGCTACGTAACGCAGCACCCAGCCGTTCAGACTCAGAATACAGCCAGGGATGTGATGGAGATTTCCCTTAAACGGCATCAGTGCAGGTGAAAAGGGGCTGGAAGCGGAGCCCCAAAGAACAGAAGTTCTCTAAAGCCACAGAACAGGCAGTAGCAGTGCAGGCTCTGCCCCCTTGCCCCCCTGCAGCAAGAGGCTGGAGGAGACTGGACTAATGGGAAGCTAACAGAGCAATCCCCATGAAGTGCACAAATGGCTAACGGTCCAGTACCCCTGGGTGGGCACCTTCCAGCTGGGGAAGCATTAAGATCGGAGTTCCCAGGCCTGGGGCATGGGACAAGCTAGTAAGAGAGCTTCGTACAGATGGCTCAGCACTCGCGAGGGGAGCACAAACACCCTCCACAGTCCAAGTCGTTCCAGGGCAGAGCGTGGCTAACGCAAGCTGAGCAGCCCATGGATAAGAGGAGCGTTTTGGGGGCCTCTCACCTTCTACGGATCTAAATCATTTTCACAATGCAGCCACCTTGCCAACCCTGCTCTCGTAAGTTTCAGCCCAGTGTGATTGCAGAGTGGCTTAGATAATAAATCCTGAAACAGGCCATGCTAGCTCAGCTGTGAGGTATTCAACATCCCTGCTAGGCTCTGCAGCCACAGGGCTACTTCCAACCTTCTGCTGAATTCCTCTGATCACGTGCTTTCTCCTCTCCCCCGCCCCGCCTTTACTCCTCTCCTCTTTGCAATCAGCAGAGCTGGCTAACGCTGCCACTCCCATCCCGCACTGATGCTAGCCTGACCCTCCAGCGCAACACACTGGAGCTGTGCTGGGGGCAGCAGAGCTCCGCGGATGCAGCAAAGGCAGCAGCTTTGAGAATTCCTGCGAGGATCTGCATCCGAACCCGACCTGAGCTACAGAGCTTTTCAGTAGGGCATGATAGAGAGCAGCAAAGAACATGGATATGGTCGTGTGCAGTGTGGAACAGAATGCCTGCAATCAGAGGCAAACTAGGATTTTATGGGGCCCTGGGCCAGAGCAAGTGGGGGCCTCTCCCCACCCCTTCCACCTGCAGTCCCCCCTGCCCCTCCTGGCACTCCTGCCAGGGAGTGGGGTTGGGGCATGGGGACTTCCCTTGCTCCCTTGCAGGAGCGCCGGGCGGATGGGGGATGTGGGTGTGCCCATTTTTCTGGGCCCCATTGGCTAATCCACCACTGCCTGCAATCCCTTTTTAACAGTGGAGGAAGCTTCCTCGCTGGTATTCTCTCCCCCTCCACTGCCAACGTGGCTGTGTTGCCGAGAAGGTGGCTCAATCCCAGGCCTTCTCCGCTGCTGATGCCAACTGTGAAGTGGATCTTTGTCTAGGTACTCGACTGAGCCCACATGATCTCTCACAGACCACTACAGGACTGTCAGATGGTAACGACTTTCAGTTGCTATTAACTTGGGTGTGACTGGACCAGTGAGCCCTAGGGAAAAAGATTGCAGCCAGTGCACTTGGCTCCCCACTCTGGTCCCACGTAGCTATCTGTATGCTGACTGCATGCTTACAGTACAATGAAGATTTTCAAGAGCTGATAATCAGACGGTCTCAGCTCTGCTACATAGTTTGGTTCCTCCTCCAATTCCTCCTCTTCTGTGTTTATTGCACTTTCTGAAACAAAAGCAAAGAGACGCCTAAACGAAACTGACAGACTGATGGTTAATCCAGCTTAAGGACCCTATTCAATTCTCTGAACCAGCCTCGAACAGCTACAAAACCCTGATATACCCTGCACTCCTGATCATTCACTACAGCTCTGTCCCTAGGGAAATGCATTTCTAATCCCCCACCCTTTCAATGAGTTTCTCTGCTTCAATTCCATTATACTAAGAACCTGTTCGATACTCACTACATCACCTGAGGGATGCCCAGCACAACTGAGCTATCTCCTTCGAGAGGAAAATGATACTTACAAAGTAAATGCCTTTAATCCCTTGCTGCCCGGTTCAGGCACGAAGGTACCTTCCCAAAGGGCAAATCCTGCTAAGACTCATGGCAGCCATGCACATCAAGGAGAGAAACATCCCTTTCAAAAGCAAGGCTGTCTGGGCACCTTCTGTAGATTTCCTGACCCACATTTCAGGACGGGCTGGCCAAACCCCTCTCACAGTCAAGGGGAACACGGCTTCCACAGCAAGGTCTTCAACAGGGCAATCCAACCAGAGCTAAGCTCTTAGACATGCTAATTACGCCCCAGGTTCAGCACTTCTCTTCTCTCAGAGCTGGATCTGAGGAGTCTGCAAAGAAACCTGCTGGCAGCTTTCTGTGCTCTTTCTGCCTCAGACACGTACAGGGCAAGAGTTGTATTCAAACAGGGATCTCCTCTCCCAAGGAGGCGGCTCTGTTGGACAGTCCACTTCAGCTGTGGTCTTGGCTAGGCCTCCTGATCTAGGGAGGTCATGGGGTCCTCTCCCTGCGTGCTCCACAGGGGATACAGCTGCAGAGCAATGCACAGCAGCCCCACATGCACCTTCGCCGTTGGTGAATGAGAGTTACGTTCCACAGAGCCCACGAAACCGCTCTGACCTGAGCACACCCTTTGTATACACTCTCTCCAGAGCTCCAGTGGGAATATTCCTCCATCACATGGCCAGGATTCCCAAAGGGACATTTCTTCACACAAGAGGCAGCAGATACTACTTTCTCCTTCCTTGGAGGTCAGTGCTCCCATCTCCTGGACACTGTTTTCGTGTCCTCCACCCACAGACGGGCACCAGGGCTACACAGGAGCCAGAGGAATGCATTCTCAGTTATGCAGCACCTGGCAGAGGTTTGGTCTATTGGGCTGTGAGATCTAGGAATGCTGAGTTTTAATCCCAGCGCTGATCTGTATTCGTTGTGTCCCTAACCAAATGACGTCGCTCTTGTGCCTCTATTTCCCCATCTGTAAAATGTTTTCAGTGCAATAAGCCAAGCAAACAGTCAAAAGGAGCACAGTGGCCAGAGAAACGTCCCCAAAGGCCAATCACAGCAGTGAACGTAAATACACTGCCGGAGGTGGTTACTAGCTCTAACCCTCTGTCCCCAGCATCCCTCACCTGATACCAGGGGCTCCTCGGAATTAAAAGAGCTCTCCTTGGTGCTGAGGCTGCTGATGGACGCTCGGTGGATGCACTGGTAGTCTGCATCTGGGAGAGATAGGGAGAGAGATGCTGGGGAAACCTTCCTCCACTTCACTTCTGGGACGATCACCTCCTGTGGAAGACACTGAACATTAGCACCACACACCGCCACCCCCACTGCCGGCAGGCATCCGAGAGAGCCTGGGCCTCCAGCACAGACCATCCAACACAGGAAGCAGTTTCTAGGAGAGGATCTAAGCCCAGGGTTCTCACTCTGTGAGGCTCGTATCTGCTGGGCAGCTGTCTCCAGCCTGTTCTGCACAGCTGCGAGGCCCCCTCAAGGGCCTGCCTGGGCTGCCACTACCAGTCACATTCTCATTGCTTGGATTAGCAGCCTCAGAGACACTAGAAGCACAATACAGATTCTTTATCAAGTGTTGGAGCTGGATTCGTGCCAGGATAGAAAAGCACCATGGTGGGGGGCAGGAGGGTGTCCTTCCCAGAGCAGGCAGGGCTCGGAGAGCAGGTCCATGGTGGAAATACTGGGTGAGATTTTCAGAGCAACCTCAGGGTTTAGACAGATCTCCATTAATCTTAATGGAAGGAAGGGACCATTCTGATCAGCGGGTCTGACCTGCTGCACAACACAGGCCAGAGAACCTGACCCAGGATACCTTGTCGCACTCTCCATCCTGGCTAGCAGCACTTCTGACCCCCCTCGACTCTCTCCCAGGGCACCCCTGCAGTCTCAAGCCTTGTGCCTGCACCTTTCTGGGGTGGACTCCCACTCGTTTCCCGCTCTCAGCCTGGGTCTTGGACTGCGGCGCCCTGTTCCCCAGCCTTGAGTGCTCAGCAGGTCTGACTGGGCGTGGCACCTGCATGTCGCCCTGTGACGGGGTGAATGCAGGGACCAGAGAGTTCTCTTCGAGCATTGTTCCATCTTAACAGCAGGGACACAGCAATGCATAAGAGAAACAGGGTTTTAAAACAACAGTGCGAAGAAGAGCTCTGTCTAGCTCAAAGCCGCTCTGTCTCTCTCACCAAGAGACGCTGGTCCAGTAAAAGATCTTGCCCCACCCGCCCTGTCTCTCGACTATTCGGGGACGAGGTGGCTAGGCCACTACCGGGACCATTCCAATAGCCCAGGTAGCGCTGCAGTTCCTAGCGCAATAACCAGGTCAGATACAAGAGGCACAAACCCTCACAGCTCAGCCCCACGGCCGCCACGCTCTAGCTCGGCCGCAAGTTACTGGGCTTATCTTTCAGGCACACGGCCAATCTTGCTTTAAAAGATTCCCAAGTGACGGAGAATCTGCCATATCCCTGGTAAAGTTGCCCAACAGTTAATTACCCTCAGCATTAAAAATCTCCCCTTCAGCCTCCACGAAGCATAAACAAAAGAGTGAATTTAAAAATCTTTCAGCATGTACTATTTGTGCTACTGCTACCATCCCCTCCTATGCGATTTCAAACCTAGCTACGCTCCAGCAGCCCTGGGCAGATGCAGTTGTTTTATAAATATTTTGACAGATAAATTATATATTGCACAACTTATTTCTGGAGCTCACTATAAAACTCTTCCTAGTCAAGCAATGCTAGAGCCTGAGCCAGATTTCTTGCTGGGGTTTAAACGCTTTGTCCCTTTCAGATGTTACCCCAGCCTTGCACTACCAAGGTGCAAGCAATCAAATCAGCGCACACCCCCTTTTTCACAACTGCAAACTCTACACTCTGCATCTTGCCTGCCAGTCGCCTGCAGTGAGTGTGCGCCTTTGAATCCTTCCTTGGCGGATGCACGGCCTTATGCTGGAGCCTATGGAGGCCTCTCTGGGGAGCTGAGGTACCGAGACGTCAGGCTGAGTGTACAGTGTTGAATGGTGAGCAAGAACCAGAAGTACTGCAGAGGGTCAGCGATCAGACCAATGTGTCGTGTTTTTCTTTGGCTAAGTGGCTGCGCTGCTGATCTGTACCTTCTGCTTGGTTTGCTTACATTAATTCTACAGCTGCAGTAGCCTATCAGCATCTGGAGAGGTGGGCCTCCCTTCACCCCACGCAGATTTCTGCTATTTGGGGGCTATGGAGGGGACCTGACTAAAACACTTCCCAGTTCTCATGCTCACTAGCCAACTTAAAAATACTGCTTTTACTTCCTTAATTCTGGAAGTGGAAATTTAAGAGGAGATTCAAATCTCACACTGCTGGAAAACAAGAGAAACTATGCTGGTCTTGCGTTGTTTCCAGTTGGTAGCTCTCAGATGTGGAGGGCAGCCCTTCCTCCTTGGGAAGTCTGCTCTCCACCCCCTTTGGGTTTGAGGAGCCCCATGCAGTGGCTGGGAGAGGCGAAGAGCCATCTCTGTGCTGAACCACGTAGGGGCCCCAGTGGGCGGGTGATGGGTGAAGCAATGGCAGGATTGGGCCCTTGCTCTGGGGTGGGGGAACAGTGCCTGGTGTGTGCTGGCTGGGAGATGGGGAGTTCACACAGCCGCTCCTTGCTAGGAATAAACTGGCCCCTGTCCAGTCCTGACATGGAGCGGTTGACAGCCACTCCGAGGTGCCACACAATGGGGTTTGGACACGAGGCCCCTCTGCTCCGCTCTCCCCATCCTGGTCATCAGCTCCCGCGAGTGTTTGTGGGGAGGGGCCAGTGTCTAGGCCTCACTGCGGATGTGTGTGCTGAGCCACAGCAAGCTGCGCTGAACATAAATCCGACTGCCCTGGGCACCTGGAGGGTAGAAGCAGGGTCCTGGTGTGTGCCCTGTGTCAGCCCAGCTCCCCCCGTGCCTCACCCCAGCAGCCAACTGGAAACACCACAACCCCTGCTCCCTTGTTTTCCAGCCCCCTCGGCTCCCCCTTCTGTGCCGAGACTGGAGAATACAGAGCTCGCGCAGCTGTGTGGGTGAAGTCAGCCCAGGCTAGGGTTTTACAAATGCTCCTTCCATGTGCCAGAGATCCAGAGGTGAGAGACGCTCAGAGCCCTGCCAACCGCTCCTCAGACAAGAGGTCTGCTGCATTCCCCTTGACACGGTAGTGAGGAGGGGAGCAGCAACTGCACCAAGCAGTTAAAGCGACAGACTGATCTGCAGGGAGAGGGACTCAGGGGATAGCTTGTCCTTTCCTCCACCTCCTCCTGAACTGGCCAGGTCACTGGTCAGCTTCCAATAAGCCAACCAACCCCTGCACTAGTTCTAGGAGGATGAATCAAGTCATTGTCTTCAAACGAGGGGTCTTCTCTGGAGACTCCTTTCTACCCCACCGATTCATCGTCCTCTGCCTCCGGGCTTCTCTCTGCCCTGGAGATTGGATGTGCTCCCTGCAGAGTCCAGCACGGCTCCTGTTAGTCCTTCCTTCCTGCCCCATGGCAGGAGGCGGCTGTTCCGTTAGGCCAGGGAGCAAAAGCCCCACTCGAAGGATCTACACGAGAGGCATCTTGGTGCAAAGCACTCACACATGAGCACTGAGTGATTCCCAGAAACCATGTCCACAATGGGTTGCGGAGAAAGCTGTCAGGATGGATTCCTCACGCTCAGCAGCACTACACGACCTGAACTTCCGGCCAGCTGCCAACAATACATATGCTGTCCCTAAAGCATAACATAGAATATGGTCTCAGGTAAGATGCTGCCAGCTTCTTCAAGTTGGCGCCTTAACCCCCAGCCTCCCTGGAAGCTCTGCTGGATGTGCTGCTCTACTTCAAATCCCAGGCAAGAAAACAAGGTGGGATTTGTGCTCTGGGAATTCCAGCCTGGGGAGCAAAGCATCTCTGTGGCACACAAGAAGGTGCATTGCAAATACTAAGCGTGCAATTGGTCTTACAGATCCTTGTTGGAGGCAGGTAGCTTCACTCGGGCTGTTAAGGGCTTCAGCTACAACAGGACCTTTTAACCAGCAGTTCCTATGTTATTACCCATAATCTTGCCTTGTTCACACTCACCATTAACATTATCTATAGGCCAGAGCAGCTGTCCCTCATGGGAGGCCTGACTCCTGGAAACTCTGAGCACTTTATGGTGCATTAGGGAAATGGCTAACAGATAATAACCAGTTACTTGGCAAAGTAGAAAATAACTGGCCGTGATAAAAGATGATTATCAACACAGTTGTAAAACCAATACAAGAGCTGCAAAAGGATTATTAATCACTGAAAGGGCCTCTGCAGCGTGGCATGAGACCACATGACAGGCCATGTAACATAAGGAGAGGTGAGCAGAAACAGGGCAATGTCTGCTCACATGGACAGAGACACTGGCTAGATCACCTCAGTGAGCTGCCTCCCTGAGATCCAGGTGAGAAAACCTACCCCAATGCTGAAACAGCTTTCAGAATGGATTTTGAGCCACTGACAACCGCGCCAGGGCTTCCCTGACACTGTCACAGCCAGCAGAGAGAGTGCACGTCCCCTTTGCTACATCTACAGGGGCAGGCACGGAAAGGAAACGTACGTGGATCCTGCTCTGAGTGGATGAAGCAGACACAGCTGAGCCAGCTTGGGCCCACGAATCACAGTAGCCAAGGCTCTGGGTTTTCTCATTTCAGGGCACAGAGCCCTCACGGTGGGACAAGGCTTTTTAAAAAAAGGCCCCAGGAGAGAAGAGTCATCCCACTGTTACAACAGGATCCCATTAAGGTGGGGACCCCAGGGGCTAGAGCACTCAGCTGGCCATAGACAGACATTTACTTTCCCGGTCACTAGAGAGACTTCGCAGCAGGATGGGGAGCTGAAGGGCTTTGGAAGGCGCCAGCCTGGGCTGAGCAGATGCAATACTTTCCCCTTTAGCAGTCTGCAGAGATTATCTGACTGCTCCCTTCCACGGGGCAGCCATTCCCCTGCAGTGCACACAGAGAGACAGGTCTCCATTTCATGAAGGCTGTGAGAGCTTTACTTCGGAAGCTGCTGTTTCTGAAAGCGACGCAGCCTTGTGTGACAGCAGCTGCAGAAAACGAGGATTTCTGAGAGACCGGTGCATCTCAGTGCTCCTTGCACAACACAGAGAAGCAGAAACACAGCTTCTCTGGGGCACACAGCTACCGTGCGGTCACGAGCTTCAGAATCAGGCCATTACAAGAGAAGTCCAGTGGTCAAAAAATCCAACACTTAAAAGCTGTTGTCCTAGCCCCAGTTAACCCCTGCTGGAGACTCATTTCCTCTGCAGTGACTTGCATACCAACAGCATTGTTCATGTATGTCAGTCTCTCTCGGATTAAAACAAACACCTGTACAACCACCAAGTGGTACACACACCTTATCTGAGTAACTTGTGCTTGTACTGCTGTAGCCCTCAGCTCGCTTAGCCCCAGGTCCTTCCAGCAGTTAATCAACTTCACGCGAATGTAAAATAGATCGGAAGCCCTTTGGTCTTCCTAGAACACTACTGGGAGTTCTACCACCACCACCATTCTCTGACTTTCCTCACCACGGCTCAGGAGGTGTCTGTATCGAAAACTTGATACATCTCAGTGAAAACGTGTCTTGACCACACTGATTTATTTCAAAACTCGGGACACATCTTTGACAATTTCCTACAAGACACTTGCTGTTCAACCAGCAACAACTGGGACGTTCCAACAGTGCTTGTAAGGTCTCAAGCCGTGCAGCTGCCATAGGGATTTCACTCTGGGAGCAGCACAGTTACCTGCCCTAAAGGCAGAGCTGGTCGGGAATTTTTTAACACCATGTTTTTTCCATTGGAAAATTCCAATTAGTGGAAAGGAAATGTCACAGAAAAAGATCAGCTGTAACTAAACTTTCTTTGGGAAGGTTTTTCACGTCCAGGTGAAAGAGAGAGACCCACCACCCCAGAATAGTCAATAGCATCCTGGGCAGAGCACTGACATCCCAGGGGAGTGCCCTTGCCACCAGGCTATGGGGTATTATGGGGTGGCTCTCATTTGCTCGCTCGCTCTCTCGCTCATTATTTCCATGAAAAATCTGAAAAGCTCCAGTTTTTGTTCCAATGCAGAATGAAGTCAAATTTTGAAGCCACAAAATTTGTCACAAAATGGAATTCTTATTTTCCAGCCAGCCCTACTGCTGCCAACATCTTTGTGCTTTCTGGTGTGCTGGGATTTTCATGTAGAGTTATTTTCCCTGCAAATACAAATAATAAAAATAAAAGCTGATCTTTGAGTCTGATCCGTTGGTGAAATGGTTGAACAGAAAGTTTAAGAAGAGAAGAAGTTTTTAATCTATTGGGATTTTTGCTCATTTAATCATGTTCCCCGCACGTTATGAGTGTTTAGGACTTAGGCCGCTTTATTCAATTTGAAGATCTCCGCTCTAACCAGCAACGAAGAAGCTGTTTGAATGTCAAGCAGATTTTATGTCTATTAACCTAGACTAGACACTTGAACATGAGCCTTCAATTCAGGCATCAACACAAGGTTTTCCAAATGATCCCCTTCACACCATTAATATCCATTTCTGTCAAGTCACACTGGATTCTGTCAAAAGATCCTGCAGGCCATGCTAAAAAATGGAGCATAACCATGACCTTCCCTAACAACCAACGTTAAACATGATTCTGGCTGTGGGAGGAAGCAGGCAGAGGAGCTGGTGTTCACCACACTCCAGTGCTGCTTTTGGCAGGTTCAAAGTGCATGGGGATTTTATTAAACTTCAAACAGATGCTTCACAGCCTGCAGCATTAGTGCCCGTATGGTCACTGCAGAGGCATTTTACCAGGGGCATTCTGTGATATTCTATTGTTATTTATTCCTTGTTTGCAAATATGGCTCTTACCAGGGATACAGAATCAGGTTCGTCTGTGAATTCTTTCAAACTCAAACTCTTCTTACTTGAAACCTGGAAGAGAGGGAGGAGCAGATGTTAAACCGACTCATCACCAGGGGATCTCCACTTCTCTGCTGGAAGGCACTGAATGGAGCATCCTGACTAGGACACTCCGCTGCCCCTCTCTCCCCCAGCAGAAAGTTATAGTAACTCTGGGTTCCAATGTAAAACATGTAACACTGTCGGGGGGGGGAGGGGGGAGCAAAAACTCCTGAGGCAGAGTTATTGGGTTCCATCAAATTTGGCAGTCAGGATGAATCAGCAGAAGAACTCTGCAAGTCCATGGACGATCCTAGCTCCTTACAGCCTGTTACATGCCAGAGGCACTTTTCTGGATTAAGCGTACGTCTGAATTAGACTACACACCCAGATGGCTCAGAATAAAGACATCAAAAATAAGGTGGTTCTTTGGAGGCTGTTTATCCTCACCACCAGGTTAAGGACTGATGGATTTCTTCCCCTCAGACTTTTTTTTTTAAATTTCCCCTAGGATCTAATTTGTACCAGGGTTTTTATTCCAATATTTAAAAGCCCTGTAAAGAGAGTGTAAGAACACAAATCCTGGCAGAGCCAGTGTTCTTATGCTGAGGTTATAAATAATGCACATGCACACCATTAGAGCAAAGAAATTCCCTTGGATTCAGCCTAATTTATCAGTGACCCAGAAACTGCTGTAACTGGCGGCAGCAGAAATTCAGGCTCTCTTGTGATGCGACATGTGAATTATGTATCACGGGCCAGATTCTGCTCCCAGAGAAGACAATGGAAACAGGATCAATCCCAATGTTATGACATTAGCCGCCAAGTGGATTTTCCACAATGTGAGCTGCCACTTGACAAAGACCATCTTCACCTCCAGGTGTAAACTGAATTAGGGACGGTGAAGGCAAGGTTAGAGGATGGCTCAGACAGCTCAAGCAAATGGAGCATCCATAATGTTCATCCAGGAGGGGTTTGAACCTATCCCCCCCAACCCTGCAAAAGAAGAATAAAAAAAAATTAAAACCCAACCCCAGAAGTGAGTATGTTTTAAAGTTAAGAAAGGCAAATGGGTGCTTTATAAAATGCAGTGTATGACATGAGAGAGACACAAGGTGGGTGTACTGGACCAACTGCTGTTGGTGAGAGAGACAAGCTTTCGAGCTCTTCCTCCGGTCTACTCCAAAGGCTGCGTCTCTCAGCATGATAGCAATAAAAGGTGTCACCTTGTCTGTCTAATATGCTGGGACCAACACGGCTACACCACCACTGTATAGAACCATGGGCAGTTTAACAGCACAAGTTAGGATATGTGATTTAACTCCCACTGAGAAGTCCAGTAGCAACACTGCACTACTGTGTGTGTGTGCGCATGCAGGCGTGTGCACACACACACACACAGGTAGGAGGCAAATTACCTGGACACATGTATTTCCTTATATTAAGCATACACAACTTTCCATCTTCAAAGCACTTTAACAAATTCTCACTGCCCCCCCATGCATGATCCCTATTTTACAGATGGTGAACCGGTCACAGAGAAGTGCAAGCTCATGTCAGTGTTAGATCCAAGGAGGGTGGTCTTGTTGCTGAAGTGCAGGACTGACTGCCTGATGCTTTTATTCCCAGCTGCCACAGATTCCCATATGACCCCAAGTCTCTTAGGCTTGCCACACCTCAGCTTCTTCCTCCGTACGATATTGCTGACCGACCTCACAGACGTGCCGAGGCCGAGTTAAGTCACGTTTCCTGTATTCGTTTATTTGAGGGCGACAGATGGAAAAGCCTTATTGGAACATCCTGCCCACGGCTATGATCTGGCTCAGACATCATCCCACTCTCCAGCGGAGTCACTTCAGTGACTGCCCAAGAATGAAACATTTGGTGAGCTCTGCACTGCGGCAGAACGCACAGCACTCAGACAGAGGTTTACGCAGCAGCCATCTATGTAGGCACTGGCTTAATAGGAGAGGGGATTTGTCTGTGTTAAGGGCAAGAACAGCTCAGCCGTTCTGCTCCCCGAACTGTGAACGAGAATCTGAACAGCAGGTTTATCCCCAATGGCCTGGACTCATTTATTATGAATGGAAACATTGAGGTACTAGCATTCCCTGCATGGGGCCTATCTAAATTAAGGTAGCTGGGGAGGGCTGGTTGATCTAACGGAAGATTCCACCTAGAGGAAACCAACCTCAGCAGCCAGGAACATGCTCTCTCACCCCAGGCCGTATCTAGGCATAGTCGGAGCCACACGAGCATTCTGGAGAACTTTGGGGAGGTTCGAGGAGCTGACTGATAGCTAGGGCATACACCCAGCTTGATACGATCATTTGCTCCAAGGCACGGTTGCAGAAAAGGAGTGCTGCCAGCTCCCCCCCACCCCTATTCAGGGAGGGCAGTGCCTGCCTGGCACTGGGGCCTGTGCCGTGGGACCGATGTCCTGGAAGCCTTTCCAGGTGGAGATAATCTCATGGATTTATTATGGCCCTGATTTCTGAATGCCTGTCTTTGGCAGTACTGCCATTTGCCAGCAGAGGGCAGTAGATCAGCCTCCCGCATGTCCCTCCCTTAGGGCCTGTCCCTGGGGAGTCTCTCAGCCACAGATGCTGGCCCATGATGCTCCCCAATGGGGACCATGGCATCCCCTCTGCTCCCACTGTCCAGCATTTGAGACAGCTCCTCCAGCACTATCAACGCATCTAAGCCCTATGGTTCTGTTGGGGGCATCCGTTGGTTCCTATCATGCAGGGACAGCCCAACGCTCCTCTCTCATCACTAATCCAGGAACCATTAGTAACAGGCATTTGAAGCTGGGTCGCACAAAGTCACAGGGGAAGATGCTCTTGCTCCCGTGCCCATTCGAGCTGCTCCTCCATTGCCGGCGGCGGATGTCCAGATCACCCTGCCTGCATCTGCGCCACTGGGCGGGGGAGTCGCAGACCGGTGAACAAACAAAGCCATGCAACTTTGAGACATGAGGCTGCAATGTTTGATCCGTCAGGCAAACCCTCTAGAGTCCGCTCTGCAGCAGCGTCCAGGACAGCGGTTCCCAGGGGACACACAGGGAAAATGCAGAACCTTCCACCATCCCAGAGAGGGGACACGTCACACAATGCATGTGAGCAACGGATACAGTGCTGCCACCGTCCAAGCACAGTGCTCTCAGGGCACGCACCTCAGCCTCCCTCCAACCAGCTGGCAGGAGCTACTGGGTTTGTGATGAACTAGAAGGGTACCTGTAGGTGCGTGCAGACTCTCCTCAGCACATCGTACACGCTGTCTCGGGAGATCAAGGACACAAAGATGTACTGAAAACAAACAGAGAGAGAGGCAGCAGTGAGAGGCTATCCCCGTTCAACACACGACATCGGCCCGGAGACACAGGCTCCTCTCTCCGCTGGGATGCTCAGAGTTAGAGCCAAGAGCACACTGGAGTTCTGGTTCCGGTTTCACAGTGTGAGCATTTAAATGCTCACCACCACGCTAAGCGCTCTGTTGAGATGCACAGGGGCAGGTTACAAGGAGCTGGAGCTGCAGCCTGTCGTGTGGCACACTCAGCTCAGCGTCATGCTGATGGACATGGCAACAGCTCGTTTTGCGAACGGAAAAGCCACCCGCAATGGCATTATGGTTCCGTGCAGAACACCAGGACCGGCGACATTCCACTCCCAGAGGGGAGACAAAACTCTCCTCCCACTCACACCAGGGGCAGTTTTGTCACCGACTTCAGTGGGAGCAATTAGGCCAACAGTGGGTACCTTGAAAAACCCACCTTTCAGGTCACTAACAAAGCAAATGTAAGGTTTAAGACCAATAGGACTTTGCTTCTATGTACTGTAGAGTGGCTTTCAGCAAGTGCTCAACTCTAATGGGTTCTAGAGAGCGTGTCTTCAACCAGCACTAAAATGCAGCCACCTCTGGGGTGGTATATTGGATTATCAGTACTAGTACTCACTAATCATAGAATTTGGACTGGAAGGGACCTCGAGAGGTCTTTTAATCCAGTCCCCTGCACTCATGGCAGGACTAAGTATTATCTAGACCATCCATGACAGGTGTTTGTCTAACCTGCTCTTAAAAATCGTCAATGATGGAGATTCCACAACTTCCCTAAGCAATTTATTCCAGGGCTTAACCACCCTGACAGGGAGTTTTTCCTTGCTGTGATTTAAGCCCATTGCTTCTTGTCCTATCCTCAGAGGTTAAGAACAACAATTTTTCTCCGTCATCTTGTAACAACCTTTTATGTGCTTGAAAACTGTTATTGTGTCCCCCTCAGTCTTCTCTTTTCCAGACTAAACAAACCCAATTTTTTCAGTCTTCTCTCATAGGTCATGTTTTCTAGACCTTTAATCATTTTTGTTTCTCTTCTCTGGACTGTCTCCAATTTATCCACATCTTTCCTGAAATGTGGTGCCCAGAACTGGACACAATAGTCCAGTTGAGGCCTGATCAGTGCAGAGTAGAAGAATTACTTCTTGTGTCTTGTTTACAACACTCCTAACACATCCCAGAGTGATGTTTGCTTTTTTTGCACCAGTGTTACACTGTTGACTCATATTTAGCTTGTGAGCCGCTATTTCTTCCAGATTCCTTTCTGCAGTACTCCTTCCTAGGCAGTCATTTCCCATTTTGTATGTGTGCAAATGATTGTTCCTTCCTAAGTGAAGTACTTTGCATTTGTCTTTATTGCACTGAATATAATGTAGGAAAGGAAATGAAGAATGACTATTTCACTTGCAACTAGGGAGGACATTAGACAGGTAAGAGCTGGGACTCCAGCCAGGACGCTGGGGCTGGTCTCTAACTCAAAGAGAAAAGTGAGATAATTAATTAGTTGGAACCACAAGTGCGGGCTTCTAATTTTCCCTGTAGGTGCTCAACCCCCACTCAGCCCCAGACCCCACCCCCCACCCCACCCCTTCTCCCAAACTCCCACTCTTGCCTCGCTTCTTCCCGTCCCTGCTCTACCCCCATCCCCGACCCCATCCACCTCTTCCCCAGGCCCTTCCTCTGCTCCGCCTCTTCCCACCCTCACTCCACCCTCGCCCTGTTCTGCCCTTTTCATTGAGTGCGCCTCATCCCCACTCCTCCCCCTCCTTCCCAGCGCCTCCTGCATGCCGCTGAACAGCTGTTCTGTGGTGTACAGGAGGCATCGGGAGGGAGGGGGAGGAGTTGATCAGCAGGGGCTGCAGGTGGGTGGGAATGGGGAGTAAGGGGGGGAGCTGGCTGCCGGTGGGTGCTATGCACCTGCTAATTTTTTTCTGTGGGTGCTCCAGCCCTGGAGCACCCACAGAGTTGGCGCCTATGGTCAGAACAGTCAGAGTTTTGGTGTTAAATTTTTCCCCAAAGGCAGAGGCTCCAGCATCGCAAGGCCCCAGCGTTGTGTGGGCCATTAGCAGTACTGCAGCCTGCATAGGAAAAGTTCCATCTACTTCACCATTTTCTACCATCAACAGCAGGACACATCGCTGGCCACCCGCTTGTATTCTGCATGGTTACCCTCCAAGTGAGGAGCCCTGTTCCTGTGAGAGAGCAGCGCACGGAAATTTACATGACCCTTTTAGAAAGCAGGGTTCTTGCGAAGTTTGCTCGACTGCACAGCAGAACAGAGCATGGATGGGGAAAAGTGTCTGGTGCGTGCACATAATCAGTGGGAAAATAAGTAAGTGACAATACCATTTTCCCCCAGAGAGCCCAGCTTAAAGTCTTTTATCTCCCACTGTTAAAGATGTCACTGCCAAGCTGGGATTTCCCAACAAGGGGCTGTTTTCCATGCTGCTTAGCTTTGCTCTCACATTTTAGTGCTAGGAGGAGGGGTGTACAGAAGGCTGGCTGTCTCCAGAAGTTCCTTCAAGCTGATGAGTTTTGCTACAGATGAAGCTAACGCTCACTTCAAAGTGTCTGTTCTATTATAGATGTGTCCTCCTCTGCACTCCGCATCCCTTGCACAAACAGCGACTTGTTTGCTGATTAAGTGGGGATTTCATTTTTTGAAGCACATTAACATTCCAAACCAGGTTTTTAAGTCTCAGCCTCCCATTCTCTTCCAGCTGCCATTCCCTATGGGATACCATGTCCAGGACAAGAGCATCTGCAGGCTATATCTGATTGGTCATTCAGAAGAGAAGTGGCTGGATTTAAGCAGAAGCATTAGAGAATTCTGCTCACAAGTTCAGATGAACCGGCTGAGCATGCGGGCAGGTCACATGCCTCTTGATGTTATTATTTCAGGATGCCGAGTTCAGAGGACTAATACGCAGAGACTTGACAGTGTGAAAGGACTCACAACCAGAGGGGCTGGCACACAGCGTTCTTTTTAAATGTTCAGATTCAACCGTTCTGCAGAAGAATCCCCCTGGTTCAATGGCTCTCCACCATCCTTTCCAGACCCCCACCCCAAAATCAAATTTAAAAACATCGAAAGGTTTCAATTTTTCAATTCAAAACAATTGCTTGGTTTGAATTTTACTTCAGTTTGATTTTGAAAAGGATAAACTTGAAAGCAAAATGTTCTGTTCAACCCCCAGCATTGTTAACTGTTTCGATTCAGCCACCGGACTGAAAGGTCAATCATTTGCACAACTCTGCTCTCAAGTTGTGCTGGTTTGGGCCTTTGGAAGCCGTGGGGAAAAGCTGGCTAAAGCAGTGCTGGGGCCTAGGACATGGTGCTTGTCCCTTCAGTTCAGCAGTGTTTCAAAATCCCAGCATGGGGCCACGGCTGCCAAGGGGCCAGCTGAGAGGAGACATCGTACCAAGGGCCTCATCATCTGCGCTCTTTAATATTCCATGGGATCCTTTGCAGAAGGAGCATTAGCTAGATCTGAACAAAACTCACATAACACAAGACGCTGGGCACAAACCTGGATAAGTCCCCCCGTTTCTCTTGGGTGTTGGGCTAATGGGGTTGCCTGGAAGCCAAGAGGAAGGTAACCAGGTTCAGCTGGGTTTCACTTTGTGTTCGTCACAACAACAAAACATAGTTCACGGGCAGGGGAGAGGGGGTGAACTGAAAGCAAAGATTCTCCCAGCTGTAGTGTCTGCCCTCAGGCCCTAGCCAAATTCCACTGTGCGAATGACATTCTGCCTCCGCACACATCCCCTGTGGTTCCAGTCGGGGATGCGAATTTTCTCTTCATTTCCTGGCCTAAATTGTGCAGTGTTACTGTAAGCAGTTATGGTGCCAAGTATCAGAGAGGTAACTCCGTTAGTCTGTATCCACAAAAACAACAAGGAGTCCGATGGCACCTTAAAGGCTAACAGATTTATTTGGGCATAAACCTCCTCGTTGTTTTTGTAAGCAGTTAAACATCTGCCATGCTCCACCACAGAAGTGGCTGCACCAATTAAGGCCCATCCTTCATACCTTACTCACACCAATGCTCATTGCCTTTAATGGGTGTTTTCCCTTAAGTATGAAGTGCACGATTGGGCCCATGTTTGCGAAGCATTTGGGGATGGACTGGAATGAGAGAGGCTATGTACACTTGGGGTTAGAATACTAGACGAGTTGCCAGTCATCTCAGCAACGTGACACAGAGCAGCTACCCCGAGGCTGAGTGGGGCAGAGCATGCATGCTCCGTCACATCACAATGGTAGCTGTGAGATGCAGGGGAGCACCTAGGGGCCTCCTGTCGGATTAGACTCACACATGAGACCACAGCACAGCAGCTGAATAGAAATAAGACCTCCAATCAGTTACCTTTCTGCTGGCATTGGTGGTGATAGCCAGCCCATTGGGCAGCAGCCGGGCCGTTTTGTGCTTTTTTATCAATTGAACCGAGACCACCGGGATAACCACCTGAAATGTAAAAACACACACCAGGTAAACGCACACGTACTATAGGTGGGGATCCAACAGGGAGGAGCGAGTGCCACAGAAAAGCCCACGAGGGAGCTGGCAGTTCTGTGTTCCATGCAGGAACTGGAGACTATGCAGTCAGTAAGGCATGGGGTCATGCAGGGTATATTTATGCTGCAATAAAAGATCTGCAAGGGGAGCAGGGTGTCAGAGCTGAGGCTCCAGCCTGAACATCTACACTACAATTTTACGGCCCCGCAGCCCACAAGCCTGAGTCAGCTGAAACAGGCTCTGAAACTCAGTGCCGTGGGTATTTCTCCACCCCCTCAGTGTAGACTGCCAATACCCACACTGGCCAATGAGGATTAAACATAATACGAAACAGCTGCCTGTTAACGGAGCTCTGTGCACCCAGTGCACTGAATGGTATGGGTGCTGTGGGAAAACAACAGTGTGTGATGGGCAACCTTAGTTCTCGCATTTCCTAACTTCTGAATGCTTGACTTTGCAACCTTAGTGATGGGTTTTTAACATAGTTCTGTGTGGAATTTCTTTAGAAATACGGTGATCCAATCTCCATTACACAGATGTCTAATTGCATCCTGTACATGATAGTAACCTGGGTAGCAATCATTGGCTGGGGACATCTTTATATTTACCGAGCAGGATCACCATACTCTGTGTATTAACCTTGGTTTGAAAAGGTTTTTAGTTTATACATTTTCAATATAATGAACACAAAAAGAGGCCAATGTCCAATACCTACAGAGCAGATCTTTGTCTAGGGACCTAGTTAAGAGTCCTTGCACTCAAGGGCACAGTTAAAAATAAACCAGGATGTGGTTTCATAGCAGAATAACTTCACTGAAACATGCTCAACTTTGGGAGCTGACTAGCATTCCTTCTATCAGAGATCTGTTTAAATAGGACTATCCGCTGGTATAAATAATTCAGCGGTTCAGCACTGGTTTTAAAGGAAGTCAGTTCTTAAAAAAACAGAACATAAACCCTACACACGAAAAAGCTACCCGTCAGCTACAGCATTAATAGGAAAATGTCAAATTACAACTCAAGCAGAGAGTTGAAAGGAAGATTCAGATCTGTTTCAGAATCCTCTAGGAGCCTTTGATCTTGAGGCACTGACAGTTTGAGCCTCTACAAATAATTGCAGTGTGGAATTAAAAAAGCAACACAAATAAACAATATTTCTACTAAGACAACTCGGAGGTTACCAGATACGTAGATGGCTCCCCCAGCGGTGCATGAAAATCCCCCCCCCCCCTTATGGAGGGCTGATTTTGGCCCTACAGCATTATTTAACGGCTTAGGGCTGAAGGGAAAATGCATCACTTAGGAGAACATCCGTCAAAGTAACCCTTCACTGGGCACTAGGAGTCGCATTGCATCCTGCTAAGACAGAACCTGGGCCAGGGGGAAAGGAATGGTGCAGGGGCTCCTGTCTAAGAGCAATAAATTCTAAGAACAATAAAATCTCTTTATGAGTCAGCGCTGCTGGCGTATGTGACAGAATGAGATAAGGGTTCATTAGGCCCACATGGGACAGAGGTCAGTGCTAGGCAGTGACGGGGAAGGGAGATCACCGCCGTATGCTGGCGCTGGTGTTTTGGGATCAGACGTCAGGCCTCTTCCCAAAGCGAAGTGTGGTGGAGAGCAACTGTGCTGTGTTACCTTGATGTCCTTCCCGAAGAGTTTTGCATAGAAGCAGAGCCAGTTGGGGGAGATGTAGAGCCGCCCCTGGATGAGGATGTCTCTCTGGAGCGCACAGGAGCAGACTGTAACACACACACACACACACACACACAGAGGTAGCATGGGGAGGGGAGAGGAACCCACAGACCTCGGATCCAGCCCCACAGCAAAACCCACAGAGCCCTGTGCTGATGCCGTGCCTGGGGACTCCAGCACGTTGCCAGTCACCTGCCCTGAGATGCTGCTAGCTACAGTGGCCTGGGCATCCAGACAGAGATTTTCTCCCCCTTTCCGGGGACATCTGATGTTCATAAAAGTAAGGAACCAATCCCACTGTGCTAAGCACTGTCCCTCACAATTAAAGTGCGTGGCACGAGGTTGACAAACTCCCAACAGAGCCTAGGCTACGACGATCAAACTCCTTGGCTCCTGACCTCCAGCCGGGACTCAAAGACTATGGTCTCCAGCATGCAAAAGCTTGTGTGTTAATCCACTATAGTATATGGGGACCCCGTTGGGTTCTGCATTTGTCGCCTTCCTCAGCCTCTGGTCTCAGCCGCTGTCTGGTCATTGGTGGAACGGGGAGGGCCGCTGGTCTGACACCAAAAAGAAAAGGAGTACTTGTGGCACCTTAGAGACCAACCAATTTATTTGAGCATGAGCTTTCTGACACCAGTGCAGCACCGAGGTTCTATACAGAGGCCTGGGTGTCTCTTTACTCCCTCAAGACTGTCTCCACCACTCACCTTTCAAGACACTCTCCTCTGTGGGGATGTCCTTGAACAGCTTGTGGTACTGCGAGTTGTATTTATTTGGTGTCTAGAAATTAAAAAGACAGTCAGGTGGTCAGAAAAGCTACCTGGTGACCTGACAGATACACAGACATCAAGAAACATCCTGTAAACAGAGATTCAGCTTCCCTGTCTACCCCTGAATGGGACCCACCCAGATCCTCCTGCTCCAGAAGCCTGGGGCCCTGCCACTAGAGCTAAAGAAGAATTGCTGTGAGAGGTACAGGGTCTATGACACAGTGGGGCAGTTCCAATTTCAGCCAGTAGAGAGCAATGGTGCACACTTACACTAGCAAGTTCCCCATAATACTTAGTTCATCTAGAAGAGGACTGTCTGAACATTCGTGTGTTGAAACAATTTAGACACCAAGCCAACCAGGAAGCAAATGTTTGGCCCAACACTTTATCTTCCTCCATTATTAATGAATAGTATTTATTATTTGTATTTCCATAGTGCGTAGGAGACACAGACCAGAACCCCATCGTGCTGGGCGCTGTGCAAACACAGAACAAAAAGACGGGCCCTGCCTTAAAGAACTGACAGTTGTAAGCTTGGTCTACACTGCAAGCTTATGTTGTTATAGCTACATTGTAAATTCCTCAGGGCAGAGCAATCTAAGCAGTGTCTTCACTAAGCGCTACAGTGGCTGTATGTGTAGACAAGCCCATACTAGAGATAAGAGCTGGCTACAGAGACACGGGGAAGTACAAGGATGCAGTGAGACAATATTGGTCAACGTGATGGGCAATTAATCAAGAAAATTAAACTCTTCAGGACATACACTGAGCAATATATTTTTGGTGGCTTTTTAAGCACTATGTGACAATTGAAGCAGAATTGAAGAGCAGCAGCAAAGGTGGAAAGGTGCTGGCCATGTCTCTGGATCACACAGCTGGGCCCATTAGCACCCTGGCACCATATTTATGCAATTCCAAAGTTTAAAATGGAACTATGTGCAAGTAGCTCACTGCTCTTAGTGAATCTGGTGCAGAGAAAACCTTCTGAAGCTGTACAACAAAAAAGATTTTACTCCTTAGATTAAATCCCTTGAAGACCTGAGAAGCAGGCTCTCAGTTTTGTCTGGGCTGCATCTTACCCATGTGCCAATGTCTGTCAACCGAGCAGATTGCTCCACTGCACTGGCAGGGTCAAACCTGACAGAAATACAGAGCTGGGTGCAGCAAGATACCGGGGCACAATAACCCACACACAAGAGGAGTGACACCAGGACACTACTTAGACAGTCAATTCCGCAGGGCAGGGGCTGTCTTTTGTGTTGGGTTTGTACTGAGCCAAGCACAACAGGGCCATAGTCTATGACTGGGATCCCTAGGCACCACCACAACATACAGAAACTGGGAAACCACGTGGTAAGCCATGGGAACTCCCTCAAAGCAGATGAGCCATTTGCACAATGCCACCCTCTAGGATTTATTAAGAAGAAATAAACTGAGCCACTCACAAGCAACTCCACCTGCCTGGCTAGGGTCTATAGTTGGCCAATGCCACTTCCTGGTCAATGGGCTCAAAGGCAGCAGAGAGAACCAAGAATCTGCAGAAATACCTGCCCTTCATCCACTGCTAGGAGAACACACCCACCACCACCACCACCATCCCATACCGGGCCCTGGCCTACAGCCACACGGACTGGCAGCAGTAGTGGAAGGAATCCAGCTTTTGTAGGAGCCACTGCAACCTGCCAGAATGATCTACCCCTGAACATTAGACATGAGACGTGGCAAGACCCAGACGCACTGTTTGCATCAAGATATGGTGTCTTCAGCAAGGGTCCAAGCAAGGGTTAAAGTGACAGGATGAGGGGAGCTCCCCCTTCTTTCCCTGGATTGGTGAACAGAATTGCTCCCCCATGGGCTCTTTGGCAATGTAATGAAACAACAGCTCCCCCTCACTTCCTGTTTCATTCCACACTGGGACTGATATTCGCTTGTCAAGGCGCAGGGGGAACCCTGCCCTCCCTCAGGCAGCCATGGGCCATCTCCTCCACCAACAGCCCCTGCTAATCTGCACTCAGCCAACGAATGCCTGGATTGAAGCGGCAGGCTGTAGCACCAGCTGGAATTCCAGCAGAGAAGATGCCCTCTGACAGAGCCTGCCACCACGGGGACAGGTAGAGGAGTCTGAACCAGAGCCACCCGACCTGGGAACCACTCACAAGGAGCCCTTGCAAGGAGCTCTACATGCCCTGGGTTTGGCATACGACCACAGCAACCTTAACCCCAGGCACCAGACACAAGGTAAGCTGGCCCTTTCAGAGAGCTGGGGCTCAGCATCGCCTGTGCCAAGGTTAGCTCACCTCTCCAGGTGAAGGAAATGACACCAGGACAGGAGCATGTGACTAGACATCAGGCCTGCTGGAGAATATGAGGTCAGCCTGAGTTCACTCAGAGAGGTGCTGCTGGGACAAGGGCTGGCGACAACTCTCCACAGCTTCCAGACAGGCAGCCTGTGAGAGACACCTGTTAGGAGCAGGAAGCTCCAGCTAGGAGGGCAGAGAACCTGGAGAGGGGGCTATCAGCAACTGGAAAGACTTTTGAGCTAGAGGGAGGACTACATGGCTGCTGAAGGGCTTGTTGGGCCTGGGGAAGGGGGTTCTGCCTGGTATTCTTTAGTAATTAACCACATCCAGAAGGGGAGCAGTATTTTGATGTGGTGGCTGGTTTAAAGCGTGATTGGAAGGTAAACTGAGGCAGCACCAGGGCCCTAAGTCAGACTAAGCAAGTCCTGGCTACACATCCCCAGTGTAGAACTACTTGTAATTAAGGATAGATTCTGTCTGTTTTTTCCCCCACAAAAGGCATGGTAGGTCCATCACAGAAACAGGAAAACCACAGTCCCTGCCCCAGAGAGCTACCATGCCAAGCAAACTGCTTGCTTATTACTGTCATCTTATTATTTTCCTGTATGGTTCCACCTCAACGGGTGGGAGGTTCCAACGGCATGCCTTCCCTGCCCCTTGCCTGTAACCCTTCTAGACACCGATGCATACTCTGAATGCTCTTCAGCTTATTTTTATAAATATTTCTGTCTCCACAAGCCAGCCCAGCTGCATCAGGTCTGCAGAGGTCACATTGCTCAGGGGTCTAGGATCATGTAATGAAAACCTCCCGCAATCAAGGCCCTTCTTCTGCTGTTTGTATTTTGTTTAAAATTTCCAAGGAATGTATCTGTGTTTATTGCAAACATTTGAAAAAATGGTGAAAATTGGTGCCAAAAATTAAGTTCCTAGATTTCTGGGCAAATATCAGGGTTAATACTTGGGATGAGAGGACAAAATAAAAAGCAACCGCGCGTGAGAAGTGGGCCCAGAAATGAGAGAGGTGGAAGGAGCGAAGGCACCAGCTCCTTGTGCTGCCTCCTCCATCTCTTCCGCTCCCGGGCCTACTCTAGAGGGAGAGATGGCAGCTAGGTTCCCTGTCCCGGCCAGGTCAATGAGCGCAAGCTCTCCTTCCAGAGCCGGGAGCCATGTCCAGGCAGTTCTGGCACTTTTCTGTAAGGACGCAAGCACAGATGTACAGGTCCGTGCGGGTGTATCTTTCATTACATTTTGACAGGTTTCAGAGTAACAGCCGTGTTAGTCTGTATTCGCAAAAAGAAAAGGAGTACTAGTGGCACCTTAGAGACTAACCAATTTATTTGAGCATAAGCTTTCGTGAGCTACAGCTCACTTCAGCTCACGAAAGCTTATGCTCAAATAAATTGGTTAGTCTCTAAGGTGCCACAAGTACTCCTTTTCTTTTTTCATTACATTGCCTTACTCTAGCAGACAGCCTCGCATTTACACTCAGTCTAATTTATTGTTTACATAAAACACCTCTACCTTAAGTAACACACTGGATTTTATTAATATAATCAGTATTTCCATGGACTTGAGTGGTCCAGAGAACAAAAAAATCGGGAAAAAGTCAAACAGTAGCTAGAATTTCAATAAAAAAGAAAACCAAGCGCAGATGCACGTGGGAACAGAGGCAAAGCTCTCTCAGCAAACTGCTGAATTCCATTCACTCGTTCTCAGCTGCTGTTGAGATAGTTGTTGGGACTGTTCCATAGTTACTGGAAAGCAGAAGCAGCAAGAAAACCTGTGTGCTTACCAAGGGCTGAGCAAACCCAGGTACGCCGTCACGCTCAGCCAAACACAGAGCGGCATTTGAGTGGGAAAGCCCATTCAAACCAGGACACGTCCTGAGGGAGGCCAAAGGAGTTAATTTTTAACAAGACCAGATTTATTTCAGAATGAGGAATCACCCGTAATTCCTCTTTCTAAAGAGGGATTAAAGTGCAGTGGCACCAGGGAGGGTCACTCTTCAGGCAGGCTCCACCCCGGCAGACAGGTGGGTCCCCATAGAGTCAGCTGATGCAATGCCGCCGACTTCAACCACCTGAGACCTGCCCACGCCAGCGCTGAACTTAGCCTGGAGGAGAGGCTCCTCCTTCTATCAGATGAGGGGCTTCCTTTCTCTTCTCTCTTCCTTGTCATGCCCTGGGACATGCCTTCCACCACAGGACCCCTTCCCTCTGCCTGCCCTGTCCAGCATTCATCTGCCTTTACAAAAGCAAACAAGAAAAGCCACAGCACTAACTCATGGCCAAGCCTGAAGTGCCATTGAGCACCCAATGTGGACACGACACACACAAACACTCCCATCTTCCTGAAGAAAGCTCCTTTTCACATACAGTCCCAGAGGTCAATCACTGCGGCATGTAAGACAACCTGCCGGAAGGAGGCAGATGCGCATAATGCATCACCTGTCCCTCACGTGGTCTTGTGAGCATTCAGCTGCGCACCACCTCTGACAAATAAGGATGCCCAGATCACAGACCATGCTGTACCTGATCTAGATGAGAAAGTGGAGAGCAATTATTTGATTCATACTGTGTTAAAATGGCAATACAGGCTCACCTCAACCAGAAAAGCTTTTGGCCAGAGAATTCAGAGAATAAACACCACCGGTGGTTATGAAGCTTGAACAATATGGAAAAAAGTCCTAAAATGACACTTCAGTATAAGACTGAACGAAAAGGGGAGAGAAAATGGTGCGATTAAGGGCTGTGCGTGCCATGCTCCCTGCTCTGTTGGCACAAGGCTGAGATGTGCAGTTTATTAACAAACACATTTGGAATCAGTCAGCCAACGTTGGTAACACATTTACTGAGCAATGTGGCACTCCAAGGACCTCACTTGTCATGTATTATTTAGCAGCACTAAGGAGTAGCTGTCAACAAACACTATTCCAACACCAGCAGTTACAAGGCATGTTCCCACATCAATGGAAAGACAGCAGCATTAACCTGCACACGTATGGCCCAACATTCATCTGCCTTCTCCATAAGAAAGGTAGCTGCCCTGCAGCAGACAAAAGGCAGCTCTCAGCCGGAGGATCACTACTGTCAGGCCACACTGCCAGATATCCAGGGTGATGAGGAAAGCACCATCAAGGAGTTAACATACTACAACATTCCAATGCTACTTTAAGGCACAGTTACATCAGCACTGTCTGCATTTCAGCAGCCTCACTAATGAACGCTAACCATTCTTCACAATGCCCAAGTCTGCTATTAGATAGAGCCTATATAGTGCTGAGCATGTGTGCCAGGAGAGTTCCCAGCTCAGCCTCTGGCTGCCTCTAAATGTAGTTATCACAAGGTTCCTTCTGCCATGTGGTCTGGCAACATCTCATGCCATGAAGATTCTGACTTGCAGTACGCTTGCCATGAGCTTCCTTCGACTGGGACTGAGGCAAACTGCTAACTAGGGGATCTCTATTTTGGACTAGAGAGGCCACAATGCATCGCTGGAGGGGACCTGACCCATTTCTGGCTACAACTCCTGTTCAAAAGCTCTGCTTATATAAAGAATCCTTTACCTTTAGAGATGCTGGAGAAAGCTTACATCCCATAGAACCTTGGCTTCACGAATCTCCTACCACATTACACTCTTAGGAACGACTCAGTACTATTAACTGCTGACACCTTTCCCTCCACCTCCCTTCTTATCCCTGTACTTCTCCTCTCCAATCTACAGGAGAGGCGAACTGCAGAGATCACCCTCACGTGCTTTCTTTACCTGCAGTGACTTAACACCCCTGCTTGTTCTCTCACAACTCCACATGCAAGCCTGTTAGCTAACTCAGCTATTCATATCACAGCATTGTATCAGCTGGTATCTCTCCTCTATCAAGCAACATCTTGGTGTCAGTTACATTCACTATACATTGTGGGTTCAGACTAATGAGCAGCTTTTTTAAACTATTCCCTTTAGTATTGAGGAGGATAAGTTCAGCGATGAGGTCAGCAAGTTATGAGGGATAGGTGAGGAGCCACGAGGCCCATGGTGTTTGACCCCACAGTGCTGTGGGGTGAGCGAGAGCAGGAACCTAGGTTAGCTTGATCCAACAACTCTGCCTTGGAAGACGTGGCTCAAAGTTTATCCACACACTGTGCCAGCGACACACCATCATGTATGTTTTCTAATGGGACAGACTAGACTGTTCACAGAGGCGGGATATAACCTACCAAGCAGCCGTCTGAGATGGACTCTCGCCAGGTCTCATTGCCCTTTGAGCCAACACAATTATCTCAGATTTAGTGCAATTTTATCACCACTTTATTTAATCAATGGATACTATACCGGCTTAAAACGGAGCACTGGGGAGAGAGGAGTTAACACTTACAGTGTGTCTACGTTGCAGTAAAAGACCAGCGGCATGGCTGGCTCGGGTCAACTGACTGTGGCTTGTGTGGCTCCAGCCATTGGGCTAAAAATCACAGTGGAGACGTTCAGCCGGAGCTGAAGGGGGGGAGGGTCTCAGAGCCCAGGCTCCAGCCCACGCTCAAACGTTTACACTGCTCTTTTTAGCAGCTGACCTGGGCTCAGAGTTGGTGCAGTGGGTTTTTTACTGCAGTGTAGACATACACCCAGCCATTTACCCATCACAGACCGGGCCTGGAAGAAGATTAAAAGACATAAGGAGGAGCTGTGACCGACACACTGCCTTAAAACACTTCCTGCTCCCACTGGGATTTCCCTACATATGAGTGTATTGCTTCCTCTTCTTGAGTATGCAGAAATAACCTGCTTTGAGTGGCTAAAATGTGGCTGAGGAGAGGCCAAAGGTGAACCACCTGTGGTCTCCGAGGCAATATACACAATGCCTCAATGATATCAAAGCGTCATGGTCTCTTACGAACGTCCACCTTGCTCAACAGGAGTTCCAAGTGCTGTCCAAATGCTGCGGATGTAAATAACTCACGTTCTGGAGCTATGCTTTATGGAGCGGATTCCCCACCTTGAGCCACGGTTCAGGTATAGGGCCATTTGTGCGCATGGTGATGAAGTGCTACTGCAGGTCTTTAGACTCATTAAGCTACAGCAGAGTAGCTCAGGGCATTGGTAGGGATTTGTTTCCCCGTCCTACACAGGCAACAGAATTTCTCAAATGGCTCTGTACGTACACACACACACACCCCTGTACAGGGTAAACTTATAAATCACGAACTAAATATACTGTGACTCCATGCTAACAAGTGAGCATCATGTCAAAAAGCAGACATCACCAAGAAAGGCAGACAGCTGTATGTGAGCAGGAGACCCTCTAATTACAGGGCAGGGGCTACACACAGACCCTCTGTCCAGAGGCTTTTCCCCTCAGGAGCCAGTCACACTGCTGTTTTGATAGGGGTTAGACCCCTGTGTTACAGTGTGACACATATTCCATAGCTAAGAGATGGACAGCCAAGTGATGATGCTTTCCATAGTATATTCTCATTCAGGCAGAAATGCGTCTCTGACTTTCCAGCTCTCGTGCTCTGTAACACTGCCAATGTTAGACTGTGCTGCAATGAAACTGAACTGGGTGTCCAGCCGACTGGAGGCAGCTCCCACACTCTTAGAGAGGTCGCGTTACTGACAGGGGCTGCAGAGGAAGGTCCACCAGCTCCAGGCCCAGAGATGGCTGTGGTCTCTCGGAAGTGGGCTGTGGTGCACTGGGCTATCACGGGCACAACGAGGGCTCTGTGATAGACAAGGCTGCCAGTGCACACAGACTAGCTCACAGTCTTATCGTCAGACAGTACTCTGCATGCCCTAGAGGAGCAGCCACTTGAATGACTTTTAGGCCTCTAATCCTCATTCTCTCTTCTCCCCATGTGCAGAAATTGGTAGTGGCAGGAAAAGGGACTGGCAGTGTAAATACATAGCCTCCTGGATTTGTAAAGGCGGAAGATACAAGCAGGCGTGGGGGAGAAGAAGAGGACATACACCTGATCCTGCTCATGCCAAGGGAAAGGACGCGGCAGGTGCAGCAAAAGAAGTTGTGGAAGGATGAGAGTCCCAACTGGGGCTGAGACCATGGAATCCAGGAAGTGCAGCAGATGGCAGGGTTGGGCCTCAGGGGAGCAGCAAAACCTCTAAAGACAGCATCCCCATGCGTAGCAGGATTGGCCCTAGACCCTGCTCCCTGTATGGCACTCACAGGGCAGGAGTTCCTGTCCAGCGGTCAACACCCAGCTATAGGCACTGCAGAGCCTCTTGGTCAGTCACACAAAGGTGCCTTTGCCCAACACTGACCCAGACTGGCAACAAGACAGTAAACACTTATCTTCACATGGCCACCCATCACATGGCAGCCATCACCTGGGAGGCTGAAGTAACGGTTCAAATGCACCACGGGCAGTGTTTTGCCCCCGACTCACCGCTTCTCTGAGACATTTCTTTATTTCTTCATCCTTCAGAGCTTCATTCAGATGCAAACTGCAAGAGAGAGAGAGAGAGAGATCCTAGTTAAGTGAAAAGCCATCCATTGGACACCCCCACTCCTCTCCCCAGAGCAGATACAACAGAGGTATACAACATAATGAATGGTGCTGAGAACTCAGCCTGGGGCAGTTAATAAGAGAGCCCTTGAAATTAAAAGTGAGGAAATACCCGTGCGATAGGAGCTTCCTACCCCCGCCCCAGGCCCCTGGTCCCTTGTGCACACAGTATAATTAACCTGTGAAACTAGCTGCTGCAGGAGACAAACAAGTAGCTCAGGGGAATAGAATTGGACATATATATGAGTCATCTGCAGTGACGCTAGCCAGGGTAAAAGATATAATGGGTGTAAATTCTTGCATTTCAGGATATAAGCTGAACACTAGCTGGAGTCAGGTAGGAATCTTCCTCTCATGGTTAAGTAGTGGACAATTTAAGGTGTTATGCCAGGTAGCAGGTATGAACCATCCAGCACTGGCCACCGCCAGACAGGACACTGGAGTAGATGGACCCTCTGTGCGATGCGATACAAATCTTTATATTCACCCCACTTCGGGGACTGAAAACTACGAGTGGCCTTGGGACCCTACTCTAGATCACAGCAAGGGACCCAGCAACAGGTCAAGGGAATTACTTGGTATGTTTAGCATCCAACCCTTAACTGCTAATGTGGGATTCTCCTGTGAAAGGCTGGCAAGAGCTTCCTACCTGCTGGGTTTCATTTCACACGCCAGGGCCAGCTACGGTTGTTGATAGAACTTGGCACACAAGGAGAAGGGCAAATGTTTGGCAGGAAACGCCAGGCCCGGCCTAGTTTAATAGGATTTCTCAGCCCTTCACTGATCTCCCACAGAGCACACTGGAGTCATGCAAAAAGTGTATTTAGAAGGCCCTACTCCAGTTATGAATGTCAGGAGAAAGCTCCTTCACTGACCCTGCTGCTGCTGTAACATGCAGGAACGTGGCTGCATCCCTGGGAGAGGAAGAGATCAGAAGAGGTTATGTGGTCACACCCTGGGAGGTATGCTGCACTGAGAGGGCCAGCACATCTCAGGGGAAGCTGTTCACAACCAGTACTTAAAATAAAACCCCACCCTGTGCGTGTCAGAGAACTAATTAGCTGATCACAACCAACATGGTTTCAGACTTTAATCTGTCATCAGACCCTACAAATCCAAACCATTTCAGAGCTCACCTGCCATCCAGGGCATCCAAACTCTTCTCCTTATGAGGCGCCTCCAGTTTCTCCTGGCTGTGCATGAGCTCAGAGCTCTTCAGGGAAGCTGCTTTTTCATGCACCGGCTTTGTGCTGCAGACATACAATAAAACAGGAAGTCTGTTAGTTCACCAGCGAGGGGGGTTGGGGGGGCAGCGGCATTAGCTATGGCAGACAGGCCTCTAATTCCATGGCTTTGAAATCCTCAGCATTTCGAACCACTTCCATTGGCAGCCGAAGTATTTTGCTCTGCTGCATGCAGCTGCTGATGGAATTATAGGCAGAAGAATTAAGGCTGCTGACAGACCCAAGCCATGGACTTTCTATACATTTTCAGCAGGCCTGTGAAATCTCTTACCCTGAGCTGTAGCTCACGAAAGCTTATGCTCAAATAAATTTGTTAGTCTCTAAGGTGCCACAAGTACTCCTTTTCTTCCTGCTGGCTTGCTAAAACAAATAGCAGGAGAGGGAAAAGAGCTGGAGGAAGTGAGCTGGCTGTTAGGAGAGTGTTTGAACTTGTAGAAAAGCTTATGTAGAGATGGTCTTTAAAACTACAATATGAAACAACAGCTCAGGGCGACAGAGACCGCACCAGGCACCTTGCTTTGGAGCTCAGTGGAGACTTAACATTTGGCTCTTATTGGAGGGAAATGACATTTGAGAGAAATGCTATGGGCCAGCTCCCCAGCTGGTGTCAATAAGCAAGCATTGTTCAACAGGAGTCACTGAAGCTACGCTGGCTCACGCCAGCTGAGGATCTAGCCTGTTTCACAGATAGCTGGGTCACTTTTACAGCTCTTTCCAGTCAGCCCAGCTGCTATCCAAGCGGTCAATTCACTTGGTAGCAGAGGAAAGGCTGAGATTTACCCCTCCTCCCACTGCCTATTTTTAAGGTTTTTTGCATTTTATTGACACGACAGAGGGGGAGGAAGCACGTCTGTTTGACCAGAGAACTGAGGGACACTCTGATGCAATAAGGAGTGGCTGTGACGCACACATTTCTGCTTGAATGCAAGGTTTCCTTTGGGGATGAGTTTGTCATCCAGGTGTGAGCTCCTATAAATCACCCAAACCACTAGCGATATCAGCCCCACCTACTGTTCCATGACTCCGGCCTCAGGCCGAACATAAAGTAAAACAGACACCATTTCCCAGACACCCTTTCCAACACCACCCACCCTCTGCCGGAAGCAGCAGCTGCCTCCCATTCAAGTTTCTTATCTGCTACAACCAGGCTTATCAGGCAGAAGTGCCGCAGCATGAAGCAGTTATCAAACCAAAAGCAAACACGATCCCAGGGCTGCCCGCAGAGGGTTATCACCTGAGGCCACAGAAATGACACTTCCTCTTTGTACGGCTGGATACTACAGTGGAGTCTGGGTTCCTAGCTGCGACAAGGAAATCAACCAGACAGAGGCTAAAAGGGACCACACACAACAGAGGAACAGAAGGAAGCAGCACGGAAGTGAATGACTAATTAAAGACACCGAGATTGGGACGAGGACTAACAAAGTGGAGCTGGGGAGACAGCGGTTCGGTTCGGGGCAATGCTGAGGAAGGACGCTGTCAGGCAATTTAGGTGTGTGTGTGCACCACAAAATCCAGTTGTGATCATAGGCAGTGGGTAGAATAGGCCAGGGAAGACTTGGCACTGCTGCCCACCTGCCACAAGACACCTGGGCTGCAGTAGCCCCACCCCTTCACCGAGGCCTCCACTGCCTGCACCTCCTCCACTCCACCCCCACCTTCGGAGGTCCCTACGGCTCTTGTCATGTCCCTCCTCCTCCTCAGGGCCGGGGGGAGTGAGGAGGGACGCGGAGAGCCAGTGGTTTGGCCGGGGGCCCAGTGGCTTGGGGTGGGGGCTAGCGGCTTGGGCCGGCGCTGGGTGGGGGGGGGCTGGCCTGGCACTTGGGGGGTTGGTGGCTCAGGCCAGTGCTGGTGGGGGGGCCGGTGGCTCAGCTGTGTGGGTCGTCAGGGGTATGGGGGCTGGTGGCTCGGTGTGGTGCTGAGGCCGGCCTGGCACTTGGGGGGGCTGGCAGATCAGCCCGGCGGCCTGGTAGCAGTATGTTGGGGGGGCTGGTGGCTTGGACCCATGTGGCTGGGCCAGGGCTCCTCTGGTTGTGGGGGGGGCCCCTCAGGGCTTCTCCTGTTAGGGAGGTAGGATTTCAGGGCTCTGGCATGTGGGGCGGGGGCCCTTGGGCAAAGGGGCGGGGCCGGCAGGCTAGCCTCCACAAAACAGGGGTTCACCACTGCCCACGGTTGTGATCATTAGGTCCCCACAGAGTTTAACGATGACTGGCTGACTTGACGGCAGACTAAACTTGCCCTCATTTTCACTGATGTGGTTGGCATCGCAGCAGCTAAGCCAGCCAATAATTAGGGCCCTACCAAATTCATGGCCAGGAAAAACACGTCACGGACTGTAAAATCTGGTCTCCCTCTGTGAAATCTGGTTGTGTGTGTGCTTTTCCCCTACACTACACAAATTTCACAGGGGACACAAGCGTTTCTCAAATTGGGGGTCCTGACCACAGTTGTCAACTTTCATGCAGTAAATAAGCACCCGGACTTTCACAATAAGCCAAAATTCAAGCTAATCCCATTTCAAAACAAGGCCAAAACAAGCCAATCCCTAAGAACCCCAACACTCTATGGGACTAGATCCCCCCAGTGTGCAGTTGGACTGTGGTGGGCCTGCTGTGCACCCGACTCTCTCCCCTGCTTGCTCCTTGCTCCTGCTTGCCCCCCTTGTCCCTCCTTGCCGGGAGCTGATCAAAATAAAAGCAGCAACAAGCTACAACAAGCCAAAAACTAGCCAACAAGCAACTCACAAGCCAATTAAGCCAAAAACAAGCCCAATTTCTGTGTTTTTTCCGCGGGGTTGGCATGTCTGGTCCTGACCGAAAAGGGGATTGCAGGGGAGTCACAAGGTTATTTGAGGGGGAGGTTGCGGTATTGCCACCCTTACTTCTGCTCTGCCTCCAGAGCTGGGCAGCTGGAGAGGGGCAGCTGCTGACTGAGGGCCCAGCTCTGCAGGCAGCAGGGCAGAAGGAAGGGTGGCAATACCACACCATGCCATCCTTCCTTCTGTGCTGCCTTCAAAGCTGGGCTCCTGGCCAGCAGCCGCCGTTCTCCAGCTGCCAGGCTCGGAGGCAGCGCCGCCAGCAGCAACAGCGCAGACCCCCCACCCCACACAATAACCTTGTGACCCCTTGTGAGCCTGGAGGGAGTGCCAGGATGGCCCTTGCCTTGCTCCTGGTCCCCACTTCCGCACCCTGCCCTGCCCTGCGGTTCCTGGCTACTGATTCTAGCCCAACCCTGGGCTCTGGACTGCGGCTACCAATTCCGGCTTAATTACTCAGGCGTGACTGCCTCTAGCTCTAACCACTGAACCCGACTGCCTATACCCTGCCCCACAGAGCTTGCACTCTCCAGTCAAGAGGCAGAGAGAGGCAGGCACGTGGGGAGGAGTTCTAAGGAAAAGGCAATTCGCAGCAGGGTGCGGATGAAGCTTGTGAGTGGCCAATATCCACGTTAAGTCTGAATCGGAGACCAGACTGGGCAGAAGCAGCGCGCACTGGAGAAGAAAGGTGGGGTGTGGCAGAGAAGCACTCCATTGTGTAGTCTGCAGAAGGCTGGAATACTGTGGTCTCATTCGGATTACTTGGCTTGGTGTGTGGGTGCAGGTTGCTGTTGGTGCCTGTGATATACAGGAGATCAGGTGGTCCCTTGTGCCCTTGAACTCTAGGACTGCAAGGAGGGGACGTCAGTCACCCAGGGAGCAGGAGGCAAAAGCAGAAGCATGAGAGAGATGAGCCAATGGGAACAGCCCTGTGGGGAGGACTGGTAAAGCAGGCAGAAACCAGGGGCAAGGCAGTGCAGTCCTGCGGGAAGGACGGCAAGGAGTTTGCAGATAAAGCCAGCGAAGGGATTACAGGAGGGGGACGGGACATGGCCAGAGCAGCAGGAGGGAGGAGATCATTTTAGAAGCTGACAGTGGGATAAGATGAAAAGCTGAGCGTCAGAGAGGCTGGATAGGAAGTGGTTAGAGTGGCTCTAAAGCCCCCCCCTACACACACACACAAAGCTAGTGGAGTGGTTTCTTTGGAAAGGAGAGAACTCACCCCAAAGGGCTAAGGATCTTAGCAGCAGAGAACTGGGAAACTCAGTAACATGTAAGCAGTGAGCAAAAGGAAACACTGCTTGCAGGTTGCCGAGGGAAGCTCTGAACAATTCAGCTTACAGCTCTGAGAACACGGCAGCAGATTAAAGCCTGGGACTGGAAGCTGATCCAGACCTTGGTCTGCTGCGAGAGTGCTGGGCAGGAGAGAGAGGGGGAAGATGGATGCATTAAACATCAGCTTCTGGGTGGGGCAGCAGCCCTTATTAGGGGCCATTACCATGACTGATTCCCAGTCTTTCCCCTCTGATGCAACACAGCACTGAACACGCTGCAGGATTATACACTGCACTTGGATTCTTCCTTGTTTTTTGTCAAGTGGACCCTGGCCATTAGGTGCCAGCTAAGCTGGTCTCAGAGGATAAATAACCTTCTCATTCACCACCTCGCTCTTCCAAACCCTGAGTTAGTGGGAGCCAGGGCAAGGTTACAATGGTCTGCATGATGCAGTTACCTGAGTTCCTGCACTGTCACAAAGGGTCCTGAGTGAGGTCTCCTCTCCGAGCAGGAATAGCCCTGTTCTGGAGAGACTGGCTGCGCCTCAGACGGTGCTGAGACCCCACCTACCCACCGGTCACCCAGCTGGGCAGCATTGAACTCGCTCAGCAGACCTTCTCACACTAGGGCACAAGAGTGGCTTGTTCGTTCAATAACATCCGTTCCTAATCTTTTCTGGGAATGTATGTGACAGGCAACCCAGCTATCACACACAGATGACAGAGGGATTTTTCCCCTTTCTGGATAATGAGGAATTAGTCTCTCTACAGTTCAACATTTCGAAAATGGCCGATTTTTATTCCACATTGCTCAATTTCTCCTTTTTGTTTGTTTGTTTTTGTTTTGTTGCTTTAACTGCATCCAGAAGTGGGAAAAAACCCACCCGCTTCGGGTCACATGTCAGCAGGACCCTGCC